GTAATCAATACTACCACCCTATCCATGCAGTAATCAATACTACCACTCTATCCATGCAGTAATCAATACTACCACTCTCTCCATGCAGTAATCAATACTACCACTCTCTCCATGCAGTAATCAATACTACCACTCTCTCCATGCAGTAATCAATACTGCCACTCTCTCCATGCAGTAATCAATACTACCACTCTCTCCATGCAGTAATCAATACTGCCACTCTCTCCATGCAGTAATCAATACTGCCACTCTCTCCATGCAGTAATCAATACTACCACTCTCTCCATGCAGTAATCAATACTGCCACTCTCTCCATGCAGTAATCAATACTGCCACTCTCTCCATGCAGTAATCAATACTACCACTCTCTCCATGCAGTAATCAATACTGCCACTCTCTCCATGCAGTAATCAATACTGCCACTCTCTCCATGCAGTAATCAATACTGCCACTCTCTCCATGCAGTAATCAATACTGCCACTCTCTCCATGCAGTAATCAATACTGCCACTCTCTCCATGCAGTAATCAATACTGCCACTCTCTCCATGCAGTAATCAATACTACCACTCTATCCATGCAGTAATCAATACTACCACCCTCTCCATGCAGTAATCAATACTGCCACTCTCTCCATGCAGTAATCAATACTGCCACTCTCTCCATGCAGTAATCAATACTGCCACTCTCTCCATGCAGTAATCAATACTACCACTCTCTCCATGCAGTAATCAATACTACCACTCTCTCCATGCAGTAATCAATACTACCACTCTCTCTATGCAGTAATCAATACTACCACTCTTTCCATGCAGTAATCAATACTACCACTCTCTCCATGCAGTAATCAATACTACCACCCTCTCCATGCAGTAATCAATACTACCACTCTCTCCATGCAGTAATCAATACTACCACTCTCTCCATGCAGTAATCAATACTACCACTCTCTCTGTGCAGTAATCAATACTACCACTCTCTCCATGCAGTAATCAATACTACCACCCTCTCCATGCAGTAATCAATACTACCACTCTCTCCATGCAGTAATCAATACTACCACTCTCTCTGTGCAGTAATCAATACTACCACTCTCTCTGTGCAGTAATCAATACTACCACTCTCTCCGTGCAGTAATCAATACTACCACTCTCTCCATGCAGTAATCAATACTACCACTCTCTCCATGCAGTAATCAATACTACCACCCTCTCCATGCAGTAATCAATACTACCACTCTCTCTACTGTCCCTTTAATCCCTTCCTTCCTTCTTTCTGTCTTTCATCCACTCATCCCCTCTAATCAGTGATGTCACTCAAGAAGTCAATATGGCTAACGTAGAGATCACTACCGCTGACCTTGTTAAAACAAGATGGCTAACGTAGAGATCACTACAGCTGACCATGTTCAAATCTGACGTAATGTTCAGAATCAAAGACCAGTGAAAACCCCAAGATTTTTCCTAAGGGGAAATCAATACTGACATTTCTAAGTTTAAATTAAAAACTTCAGAATCCTGTTCAAACCTTAAATACACTACAAGTTGTACATTTCCTGCATTAGAGCAAAGTTCTCCTGCAACAGGGTGATCAAATTAAGATTCCCTTAGTGTCTAGAGACAGTTCTTAACAGGAGAAAAGCCATTCCCTGAATGATGTGCCATAAATCATACATTAAATGTTAAACATTATTAAATGTTACACATTTGTATTAATGTGACCAACATCGTGTGAAAATATGTATTACAGCATTCCTGCAGTGGTTTTATCAGTGATGTTTTCAAGTTTGGTTAAACAGAAAGTTCACTGTTACATGTAATCTGATTACAAAAAAAACAAACTGTAATCAGTTACGTTACCAGAAATAAATATTGCAATCAGATTACAGATACTTTTGAAAAACTAGATGATTACTTCTTGGATTACTTTTACATTCAGAAAGGATACTTGTGAGAAGAAAAACAACAACATTATGACACTTTTCTGTTTTCTCAATGACATTCAATTCAGCATAGAAACATTTAGCATTTTTTGGACTTATAAATGAATGATATGTACCCAGTGATTCTTGAAGAATATGACTTATTATTGCCTCATGAGCTTAGTTCAACTGTAGAACCCCGTCAGAACCCAAAATAGAACTTGTTTTACTCCAATGTTTCCAAACAACGTAAATGTAAACAAACTCTACATAGCCTCAAAACACGGTGAAAGCGATCATGTTGATATCATGGATGGTCAGTCCTTACATCCATAGCTTTTTTATTTCACCTTAATTTAACCGGGTAAGCCAGTTGAGAACAAGTTCTCATTTACAACTGCTCTGTTTATGAATTTGAGAGTGGTTACATTTCTCCAGCCCAATCCCTCAGTTAATAAACCGAAACAGGGGTAATCCAAAAACTTACATTACTGATTAAAATGTTTGAGAGTTAATAACTGTAACGGATTACATTTAGAAGGTAAGCTACCAAACCCTGAGGATTGTTTTAGCAAAGTGCTGCCCCCCCAACTCCTGTTCTATTCACCTCTCAGGGTTTTCTGTCTCAACACTGCCCCCGTGTGACAAGGAACCGGATTTCTCCAAAACAGAAAACTGCTGTGAGCAGTCTAGACTTGACAAGGTCCACTGTATGGTCAGCCACCCACTGTAATACGTAGGCTCTAGCTCTGTGGGGTAACACAGTCTTGTTGCACGCATGAGACACATTTCTATATATCCCATCCCTGAGTTCTTGACTGACCTGCTCCATAGGGAAAGTGACAGACAGGTCCTCAATGGTTGGCGAGCAGTGGCAGAATATCTACTGTATAAAATATGAAACAGGATGGGGGACACTGTTGACAGCTGTGTCACAAAGCATCAGTAAGGATGACAGGAGCCCAGTGCAGCCCCTGACGTGTGTGTGTGTGTGTGTGTGTGTGTGTGTGTGTGTGTGTGTGTGTGTGTGTGTGTGTGTGTGTGTGTGTGTGTGTGTGTGTGTGTGTGTGTGTGTGTGTGTGTGTGTGTGTGTGTGTGTGTGTGTGTGTGTGTGTGTGTGTGTGTGTGTGTGTGTGTGTGTGTGTGTGTGTGTGTGTGTGTGTGTGTGTGTGTGTGTGTAGGGGAGGTTGGTTGGTTGTAGCTGTAGCTGTAGTCCTCTGTAGCTCAGCTGGTAGAGCACAGCGCTTGTAACGCCAAGGTAGTGGGTTCGATACCCGGGACCACCCATACACAAAAATGTATGCACGCATGACTGTAAGTCGCTTTGGATAAAAGCGTCTGCTAAATGGCATATTATTATTATTGGTTTTTCTATCCCCATGACGACAAAGGCTATTTTAAGCTTAGGGGTTAGGTTTAGGGTTAGGGTTAAAATTAGGATTTTAAATTATTTTAAATTAGGGTAAGGGGTTAGTGGTTAGGTTTAGGAGTTAGGTTTAGGGTTTGGGTTAGGGGTATGGGTTAAGGTTACGGTTATAGTTAGAGTTAAGGTTATGGTAAGTTATGGTAACTGTTGCCACAACGTTGGAAGCACAGAATTGTCTAGAATATAATTGTATGCTGTAGCGTTAAGATTTCCTTTCACTGGAACTAAGGGGCCTAAACCAAACCATGAAAAACAGCCCCAGACCATTATTCCTCCTCCACCAAACTTTACAGTTGGCACTATGCATTTGGGCAGGTAGCGTTCTCCTGGCATCCGCCAAACCCAGATTCGTCCATCGGACTGCCAGATGGTGAAGCGTGATTCATCACTCCAGAGAACGTGTTTCCACTGCTCCAGAGTCCAGGCGGCGAGCTTTTTCACCACTCCAGCCGACACTTGGCATTGCACATGGTGATCTTAGGCTTGTGTGCGGCTGCCATGAAAACCCATTTCATGAAGCTCCCGACGAACAGTTCTTGTGCTGACTTTGCTTCCAGAGGCAGTTTGGAACTCGGTAGTGAGTGTTGCAACCGAGGACAGGCGTATTTACGCATTACACGTTTCAGCACTCGGTGGTCCCGTTCTGTGAGCTTGTGTGGCCTACCACTTCCTATATGTTTCCACTTCACAATAACAGCACTTACAGTTGACCGGGGCAGCTCTAGCAGGGCAGACATTTTACAAACTGACTTGTTGGAAAGGAGGCATCCTATGACGGTGCCACGTTGAAAGTCACTGAGCTCTTCAGTATGGGCCATTCTAATGCAAGTGTTTTTGTCTATGGAGATTGCATGGCTGTTTGCTCGATTTTATACACATGTCAGCAACGGGTGTGGATGAAATAGCCAAATCCACTCATTTGAAGGGGTGTCCACATATCTTTGTATACACAGTGCTCTTGCAGTCCTTCTCTGACATACAAGGACATAAAAACTACTTTGAAATGACTCTGAATCACAGTTCAAGGGGGTCCAGTGTCTGGTTTGCTTTTCGCTTTTCTCCTCACCATTTTTTATTCTTTAATTTTTTCCCCTAAAGTGTTTTAAGTGTCTCTCAGGGCTGGGGTTACCATGACAACAGAGAGCAGGAAGAGAGAGTGTGGAATGTTCCGGCAGGTGTCACCTCTAGCTGTCTCACCTCTCCTCTCATTGTGTCTGGCTGGCACTCTGGCAACTAGTCCACGCCCCAGACCCCAGGGCCTCTGACGGGACACTCAGTGGGTGGGGAGGAAGGGGAGGGAGGGAGGGAGGGAGGGAGAGAGTGAGAGGGGGGGAGGACAGTGGTGGACTGTATGTGGGCAGAGAGGTAGGAGGGAGGGAGGGAGAGAGGGAGGAGAGAGTGAGAGGGGGGAGAATAGTAGTGGACTGTATGTTGGCAGAGAGGTGGGAGGAGGTGGATAGAGGGAGGGAGGGAGGGAGGGAGGGAGGGAGGGAGGGATGGATGGAGGGAGGGAGGGTGGGGAAGTAGGGGAGAGAGGGACAAGAGATAGACAGTAGGTGGGGATAGGGGAGGGAGAGAGTTAGGCGTGAAAAGGAGAGGGGGAGGGAGGAAGAGGGGTGGACTGTCTTTCCCCCTGGGCCCCCTCCGACGCCCTAATGGAGGATGCCAACACGGCACTCAGGTGAAACGGATGTGGCCTCTCGTTGATGGCAAAGAGCTGTTCCCGTGGAACACAGGGGAAGAATGGTATACAACGGAAGAATACAAGGTAGAGGACAGTTCAGCGCACTCTGAGGCCCCTGTCTGGGCTGTCTGTCTGTCTGTCAGACACCTGCTGCTGCTGTGGCCGTGGTTCACCTCTACAGAGTGGAACTGTAGTCCAGACAAGGGTGGGTCCAAAATGACACCCTATCCCCTAATATGGGCCCTGGTCAAAGTAGTCCACTACATAGGGAATAAGGTAACATTTGGGACGCACCCTCTGTCCATGATTTAGAAAAACAAAAGTAGCAATAGCAACTAGCCAGATTCAAAACAAACATTTCCTCCGCTACTATAGGCACTGTAGCCTACTGCCTCTGAGCATTTAGGAGGGGTTTGATGTATGAATAAGTAAAGAGGTGGAACTGTATAGTCAAGGCAAGTGCCTTTAGCAAAAATCAGTTTAAAAATCACAAGAGGGGACTGCTGACTGCATAACCTCTGTACTTCATCGTTCAAGGCTGGTGATTCGCAATTGAATACATTTTATGTCACGTCTACACCCAGCTAGCACATTTGGTTCCTTGGAAGTTGTGGGAACGTATGTTATTGGTTTTGGGAACGTTTCCTGACCGGTAAAACGTAACTTTTGTAAACGTTTTGCCACGGTTCTTTACGTTTTCCTGGGAGGTTTTATAAACACTCTATGAATGGAAATTCTCGGTTATTTTGAGTGTTTTTTTTTTTTAAACGTCCTTAATACTTACACTGAATGTTTCAATAAGACTTTCAATTTACAATCTGTAGAAACAATGAGAATAAAAGTGTTTAGAACTTTTGCAAAACATCACAGTAAAGTTGAAAAATATATGGCAAATAGAAATCCAATATGGATTTAGATGGGTGGTGTTGAATGGAGTTGAAGGATGGGACTTATAACAACTAACAACAACTAATAACAACAAGATAACTAATGTAAAGCATACTGTGTCCATAATAAGTATATAGGTTATAGGTTGAGAGCTTTTGTGAAAGAGCACAGTTAGAAAGATATGGCATATAGAAGCAAACCGGATGGACATCATGAAAATGATCAGAGAGGTTGTGGGTAGAGGAAGTTAAGGAGTAAAAACAAAACTAAATAGAATTATTGTACAATTGACTGTGTCCATAAAATGTATATAGTATGTATAAGCTGGAAGTAGAGGCCTAAGCGTTGTTGTTCAGTAGTTTACTCCAATTAGGGAAGGGGTGGTGGGGTTGGAAAGTAATAAAGGGAAATATATATTTTTAAAGGATATGTATACATATGTATGCATATGTATTTATATGTATTTATGTGTATATGTATGTGTATGTATGTAAATGTATATATATATATATATATACATATATATATATATATATATATATATATATATATATATATATATATATATATATATATATATATATATATATATATATATATATATATATACATACATATATATATTTGCGAGAAAATAAAACATATGGGGGATTGGAAGTGATGCAGACAATTACATTGATGGAAGTTACAATCTATTTGCAATATTAAAGCTGATCTACCCCCTAAAACATAACAAATAAAATAAAACTTATGGTAGAGAAATGAACATTCAATTCTCTGGCAACAAGCCACTCTTCTGGGAAGGCTTTCCACTAGATGTTGGAACAGTGCTGCGGGGGACTTGCTTCCATTCAGCCACAAGAGCATTAGTGAGGTTGGGCACTGATGTTGGGCGATTAGGCCTGGCTCGCAGTCGGCATTTTAATTAATCCCAAAGGGTGTTCGATGGGGTTGAGGTCAGGGCTCTGTGCAGGCCAATCAAGTTCTTCCACACCGATCTCGACAAACCATTTCTGTATGGACCTCGCTTTGTGCACGGGGGCATTGTCATGCATTGTCATTGTATGCTGTAGCATTCAGATTTCCCTTCACTGGAACTAAGGGGCCTAGCCCGAACCATGAAAAACAGCCCCAGATCATTATTCCTCCTCCAACATACAAGCATTCTCCTGGCTCCCACCAAACCCAGATTCATCCGACGGACTACCAGATGGTGAAGCGTGATTCATCACTCCAGAGAGCGCGTTTCCACTGCTCCAGAGTCCAATGCTAGCGAGCTTTACACCACTCCATCCGATGCGTGGTGATCGTAGGCTTGTGTGCGGCTGCAAGGCCATGGAAACCCATTTCATGAAGCTCCCGACGAACAGTTCTTGTGCTGATGTTTGTTCCAGAGGCAGTTTGGAACTTGGTCGTGAGTGTTGCAACCCAGGACATACAATTTTTACACGCTTCAGCACTCTGCGGTTCCGTTCTGTGAGCTTGTGTGGCCTACCACTTCGCGGCTGAGCCGTTGTTGCTCCTAGACATTTCCACTTCACAATAACAGCACTTACAGTTGACCGGGTCAGCTCTAGCAGGGCAGATATTTGACGAACTGACTTGTTGGAAAGGTGGCATCCTATGACGGTGCCATGTTGAAAGTCACTGAGCTCTTCAGTAAGGCCATTCTACTGCCAATGTTTGTCTATGGAGATTGCATGGCAGTGTGCTTGATTTTATACACCTGTCAGCAACGGGTGTGGCTGAAATAGCCAAATCCACTCATTTGAAGGGGTGTTCACATACGTTTGAATATCCAGTGCATTCGGAATGTATTCAAACCCCTTGAATTTTCCAAATTTGGTACATTACAGCCTTTATCTAAAATTGATTAAATTAGTTTTTCCCTCATCAATCTACACACAATACCCCATAATGACAAAGCATAAACAGCTTTTTAAACATTTTTGTAAATCTATTACAAATAAAAAACAGAAATACCTTATTTAAATAAGTATTCAGACCCTTTGCTATGAGACTCAAAATTGAGGTCTGGTGCATTCTGTTTCCATTCATCATCCTTGAGATGTTTCTGCAACTTGATTGGAGTCCTGCTGTGGTAAATTCAATTGATAGGACATGATATGGAAAGGCACACACATGTCTGTATAAGGTCCCACAGTTGACAGTGCATATCAGAGCAAAAACCAAGCCATGAGGTCGAAGACATTGTCCGTGGAGCTCCGAGACAGGATTGTGTCGATGCACAAATCCGGTGGAAGGGTACCAAAACATTTCTGCAGCATTGAAGGTCCTCAAGAACACAGTGGCCTCCATCATCCTTAAATGGAAGAAGTTTGGAAACACGGAGACAATGGCCCTTACTAGTCTATTGATGTTAAGGAAAATGTCAGGGCTGCAGCTGTCCAAAACTTCAATAAGGGATGGGAATTCCAGACCTCCCCCTACTTTCCGATGCAGTTTCTGAATAGCACGATTAATTCAGCATCCTCAACAGAGACATGATAGTGATCACATGGGACCAGCAGTGATTCTTTCAGTGTAAAAGTCCTAGACCCTAGCAGAGAGGCCGCTGCTGCTCTCATTATTCCATATTGATACTTCTGGAACCGGGTGTGTAGATCAGTCAGCTGTCTGTTTGTCTATCTGTCTGTCTGTCTGTCTGTCCAGGATGTCAACTCACAGCTGTCTGTCCAGGATGTCAACCCACAGCTGTCTGTCCAGGATGACAACCCACAGCTGTCTGTCCAGGATGTCAACCCACAGCTGTCTGTCCAGGATGTCAACCCACAGCTGTCTGTCCAGGATGACAACCCACAGCTGTCTTTCCAGGATGTCAACCCACAGCTGTCTGTCCAGGTTGTCAACCCACAGCTGTCTGTCCAGGACGTCAACCCACAGCTCACTGTCCAGGATATCAACCCACAGCTGTCTGTCTGTCCAGGATGTCAACCCAGATCTGTCTGTCTGTCCAGGATGTCAACCCAGATCTGTCTATCTGTCCAGGATGTCAACCCAGATCTGTCTGTCCATCCAGGATGTCAACCCACAGGTGTCTGTCTGTCCAGTAGGTCAACCCACAGCTGTCTGTCTATCCGGAATATATACTATATCCTGCCTGCCGTAGTATTAATGTTCCAAGATGGCATAGCAGTGCGGTCGTGTTTTCTGTAGTGTCCTCATGTAAATAGCCAGTTTTTTTGTTTTTTTTGTCTTTTTCGTATATATTTCTCAATCTCACTTTCCATCCTTTAACTAAATATACTTTCCTGCAACCCGCCTCACCCAATGTGGAACGGATTCTATTATTTCTTCATACATTTTTATCCAGAACCTCTGGCTGAAACTAGCCAGCTAGCCAGCTAACTAGCTACTTGCTATTAGCCACCATTAGCGGTCTTCACCATTGTCCGTGGCCGTGGCCGTGGCCTACACTACCTACCAGCCTGCTCTAGCCTGGACAATTATCGGCCAGTCTGCACAGTCTGCACATCGCGCTATCGAGCCAGAGTATATTGGATTTTCTACCGGAATCACTGAATCACTGGACCTTAACACCGGATCATCGCAACTAGCTAGCAGCAACCAAATGGCTGTTGTCGTTGTTGGCTAATCACCACTAATCACCACTGTCCTGAAGCTAACCCCAGTTAGCCTTGAGCCAGGCCCATCTCCCAGCTATCTACCGCTCTGTCAACCGGACGGGACCTCCTAGTGTTGACACGGAGCCCCGCCGATCCATCACGACTGGTCTGCCGACGTAATCGTCTGATGTGGTTTCAACAGGCTTCCCGTTGCGACGACCATGAAGATCCATCTGCTAGCCCCGGCCCGCTAGCACACGCAATCAACAGCCATGCCTCCTGCTCGCCTGTAGCGTAGCAGCCACTGAACTGCTCCCGGACTTACTTATTGCTGTTCACTGGACCTTATGATCGTTCAGCTACACAGCTGATGCCTGCTGGACTGTTCCTTTATACGGTACCCCATCCTGTTGATCTGTTTAGCCTCAGCTCAAACTTTCATTGCCATTACCAGCTGTTGTCTTAGCTCTCTCGAATAACACCTGTGACTGCTTTATGCCTCTCTCCTCAATTTGCCTTGCCTATTGCTGTTTCGGTTAGTTCTAACTGTACTATTTCAATGTAGAGCCCCCAGTCCTGCTCAACCTGTCTCAGATAGATCCTTTGTCCCACCCCCCACACACAGAGACCAGCTCAATCGGTGCCTCCAGTGATGCTATCTCTTTCATCTTTACCCAACGCTTAGGTTTACCTCCACTGTACTCATATCCTTCCATATCCTTGTTTGTACATAATGCCCTGAATCTATTCTATAACGCACGTAAATCGGCCCCTTTTTTTCTCTGTACCCAACACACTAGAAGACCAGTTCTTAAAGCCTTTAGCCGTATCCTTATTCTACTCCTCCTCTGTTCCTCTGGTGATGTAGAGGTTAACCCAGGCCATGTAGCCCCCAGTATCACTCCTGCTCCCCAGGCGCTATCATTTGTTGACTTCTGTAATCGCAAAAGCCTTGGTTTCTTGCATGTTAACATCAGAAGCCTCCTCCCAAAGTTTGAGTTATTCACTGCGTTAGCACACTCAGCCAACCCTGATGTTCTAGCAGTGTCTGAATCCTGGCTTAGGAAGGCCACCAAAGATTCTGAAATTTCCATTCCCAACTACAACATTTTCCATCTAGATAGAACTGCCAAAGTGGGCGGAGTTGCAATCTACTGTAGAGATAGCCTGCAGAGCTCTATCATACTATCCAGGTCTGTGCCCAAACAGTTTGAGCTTCTACTTCTAAAAATCCACCTTTCCAGAAATAAGTCTCTCACTGTTGCCACTTGCTACAGACCCCCCTCAGCCCCCAGTTGTGCCCTGAACACCATATGTGAATTGATTGCCCCCCCATCTATCCTCAGAGTTCGTATTGCTTGGTGACCTAAACTGGGATATGCTTAACACCCCGGCAGTCCTACAATCTAAACTAGATGCCCTCAATCTCACACAAATTATCAAGGAACCTACCAGGTACAACCCTAAATATGTTAACATGGGTACCCTCATAGATATCATCCTGACTAATTGACCCTCTAAATACACCTCCGCTGTCTTCAACCAGGATCTCAAGAATCACTGCTTCATTGCCTGCGTCCGTAATGGGTCCGCGGTCAAACGACCACCCTTCATCACTGTCAAACGCTCCCTAAAACACTTCAGCAAGCAGGCCTTTCTAATTGACCTGGCCCGGGTATCCTGGATGGATATTGACCTCATTCCGTCAGTAGAGGATGCCTGGTTGTTCTTTAAAAGTGCTTTTCTCTCCATCTTAAATAAGCATGCCCCATTCAAAAAATTCAGAACTAAGAACAGATATAGCCCCTGGGGGACACCCCAGACTTGACTGCCAGCACAAAAACATCCTGTGGCGTATGGCATTAGAATCGAACAGCCCCTGCGATATGCAACTTTTCAGGGAAGTCAGGAACCAATATACACAATCAGTTAGGAAAGCAAAGGCTAACTTTTTCAAACAGAAATGTGCATACTGTAGCACTAAGTTTTGGGACACTGTAAAGTCCATGGAGAATAGGAGCACCTCCTCCCAGCTGCCCACTGAACTGAGGCTAGGAAACACTGTCACTACCAATAAATCTACGATAATCGGAAATTTCAATAAGCATTTTGCTACGGCTGGCCATGATTTCCACCTAGCTACTTCTACCCCGGCCACCAGCTCTGCACCCTCCGCTGCAACTTGCCCATGCCCCCCCGCTTCTCCTTCACCCAAATTCAGAAAGCTGATGTTCTGAAAGAGCTGCAAAATCTGGACCCCTAAAAATCAGCTGGGCTAGACAATCTGGACCCTTTCTTTCTAAAATCAGCTGCCAAAATTGTCGCAACCCCTCTCACCAGCCTGTTCAACCTCTCTTTCGTATCGTCTGAGATCCCCAGAGATTGGAAAGCTGCCGTGGTCTTCAAATGGGGTGACACTCTAGATCCAAACTGTTACAGACCTATATCCATCCTGCCCTGCCTTTCGAAAGTATTTGAAAGCCAAGTTAACAAACAGATCACCAACCATTTAGAATCCCACCGTACCTTCTCCGCTATGCAATCTGGTTCCGAGCTGGTCATGGGTACACCTCAGTCACGCTCAAGGTCCTAAACAATATAATAACCGCGATCGATAATAGACAGTACTGTGCAGCCATCTTCATTGACCTGGCCAAGGCTTTTGACTCTGTCAATCACTGCATTCTTATTGGCAGACAAAATAGCCTTGGTTTCTCAAATGACTGCCTCGCCTGGTTCACCAACTACTTCTCAGATAGAGTTCAATGTGTCAAATCGGAGGGCCTGTTGTATGGACCTCTGGCAGTCTCTATGGGGGTGCCACAGGGTTCAATTCTTGGGCCGACACTTTTCTCCGTGTATATCAATGATGTTGCTCTTGCTGCTGATGACTCTCAGATCCACCTCTACGCAAACAACACCATTTTATATACATCTGGCCCTTCACTGGACACTGTGTTAACAAACCTCCAAACGAGCTTATATGCCATACAACACTCCTTCAGTGGCCTCCAACTGCTCTTAAACGCTAGTAAAACTAAATGCATGCTCTTCAATCGAACGCTGCTTGCACCCGCATGCCCAACTAGAATCACTACTCTCGGCGGCTCTGACTTAGAATATGTGGACAACTACAAATACCTAGGTGTCTGGTTAGACTGTAAACTCTCCTTCCAGACTCACATTAAGCATCTCCAATCCAAAGTTAAATCTAGAATCGGCTTCCTATTTCGCAACAAAGCCTCCTTCACTCATGCTGCTAAACCTGCCCTCGTAAAACTGACTATCCTACCGATCCTTGACATCGGCGATGTCATTTACAAAATAGCTTCCAACACTCAACTCAGCAAATTGGATGTAGTCTATCACAGTGCTATCCGTTTTGTCACCAAAGCCCCTTATACTACCCACCATTGTGACCTGTACGCTCTCGTTGGCTGGCCCTCACTACATATTCGTCGCCAAACCCACTGGCTCCAGGTCATCTATAAATCCCTTCTAGGCAAATCCCCGCCTTATCTTAGCTCATTGGTCACCATAGCAACACCCACCCATAGTATGTGTTCCAGCAGGTATATCTCACTGGTCATCCCCAAAGCCAACACCTCCTTTGGTCGCCATTCCTTCCAGTTCTCTGCTGCAAATGACTGGAATGAACTGCAAAAATCTCTGAAGCTGGAAACTCTTATCTCCCTCACTAACTTTAAGCATCAGTTGTCAGAGCAGCTTACCGATCACTGCACCTGTACACAGCCCATCTGTAGCCCACCCAACTACCTCATCCACATATTGTTATTTACATTGTTATTTATTTTGCTCATTTGCACCCCAGTATCTCTATTTGCACATCATCGTCTGCACATCTATCACTCCAGTGTTAATACTAAATTATAATTGTAATTATTTTTCACCATGGCCTATTTATTGCATTACCTCCATAACTTGCTACATTTGCACACACTGTATATATATTTTCTGTTGTATTTTTGACTTTATGTTTTACCCCATATGTAACTCTGTGTTGTTTTTTCCGCACTGCTTTGCTTTATCTTGGCCAGGTCGCAGTTGTAAATGAGAACTTGTTCTCAACTGGCTTACCTGGTTAAATAAAGGTTAAATAAAAAATAAAAATATACAGAAACACCTCCCCAATAGGCATTCCTGTATTTTCTGTAGATGTTATATCCTTGTATTGCTACTGCAGTATCATCAAAGGAATTATCTAAGTGAGTTTCAGAGATGGCCAGTGTATATTATATTATATATATATATACATTCTTAGCCCTTTCCTGGGTAGATAGATATGGAGAAAGAAATAAGTAAAATAAAATAAAACATGTTTGAATCAGACAGTTGTGAGTTTTAGTTGATTTAGGGCTGAAGCTACTGACTCTGAAGCTTGGCTGTCTCACTCCTCCCAGGCTTTTGGGAGGGAGGGAGGGAGGGTGGGCTTATGCCTAGATGGGATAAAGTTATTTCCGCCTCTTCTTGAAGGAGATTGTTGGTTCCTCTCAAGTTCTTGGCTCTCTCCAGACCAACCATCTCATCCTTGAACCTTAGGAACTTGACCACTATCGGCCTGGGTCTGTTACCATGGTTACAGGTTATCCAGACCTGTGTTCTCCACCTCAATCTTTCTATCATCCATCTGCGGCATTTGGTGAAATGTTTTCCTACTTTCTCCACAAACTCTGTCCAGGTCTCATGTGGAGAATCTGGTATGCCATCCACAACAAGGTTATTCCTCCTGGATTTTCCCTCTAGTTAGTCTGTTTTCACAGTCATCTGTAATAATGATTCACAGACAGTTCTGACATCAGTTACATTTTAGTCATTTTGCAGACGCTCTTATCCAGAGCGACTTACAGTTAGTGAGTGCATACATTTTTCATACTGCCCCCCCCCGTGGGAATCGAACCCACAACCCTGGCGTTGCAAGCACCATGCTCTACCAACTGAGCTACAGGAGGCCTGTGATTTCGCGTGGACGTAAAGTTTGTTGTCATCTTGCTGCAAGTCTCTTTCAGGACATCCCCGTCTCCCTGGGAGAACTGCAAACTGTTCTTAAGGTCCTGGACCTCTCTGGTCAGATCGTTCATTATTTTGTTAGTTGAGTCAAGTTGAGTATTTGGACAAAGCTATTGAAGCTATTTTCCTGTTGCTGTAACAAAGATCACATAGCGAAAACACTGTCCCTGCCGGCCATTCCCTCCCCTACCCTGGACGACACTGGGCCAATTGTGCGCCACCCATGAGTTATCCCGGTCGCGGCCGGCTGCGACAGAGCCTGGATTCGAACCAGGATCTCTAGTGGCACAGTTAGCACTGCGATGCAGTGCCTTAGACCACTGCGCCACTCAGGAGTCTTTAACTTTGGGCAGTATGATGGTAGCAACGTAGGCTGATAGAAATAAACAGCCACAAGCCCGGGTGGTACCATATCATTAACCAATTAGATCCCAGTAACCTCTTACTGCATTTTATATATATATACACACACACACACTGAGTGTACAAAACATTAAGAACACCTTCCTAATGTTGAGTTGCGCTGGCCCATATTAACTCCAATTCTTCCCACAGTTGTGTCAGTGGTCCTCTGTAGCTCAGCTGGTAGAGCACGGCGCTTGTAACGCCAAGGTAGTGGGTTCGATCCCCGGGACCACCCATACACAAAAATGTATGCACGCATGACTGTAAGTCGCTTTGGATAAAAGCGTCTGCTAAATGGCATATTATTATTATTATTATTATAAGTTGGCTGGATGTCCTTTGGGTGGTGGACAATTGTTGATACACACAGGAAACCGTTGAGTGTGAAAAACCCAGCAGCGTTGCAGTGGTGCGCCTGGCACATACTCCCATACCCCTGTTCAAAGGCACTTCAATATTTTGTCTTGCTCAATCACCCTCTGAATGGCACACATACACAATCCATGTCTCAAGGCTTACAAATCCTTCTTTAACCTGTCTCCTCCCCTTCATCTACACTGACTGAAGTGGACATATTTTGCAAATAAATTCATAAAAAATCCTACAATGTGATTTTCTGGAAAAAATAATCTCATTTTGTCTGTCATAGTTGACGTGTACCTATGATGAAAATTACAGACCTCTCTCATCTTTTCAAGTGGGAGAACTTGCACAATTGGTGGCTGACTAAATACTTTTTTCCCCCACTGTACACAATCCATGTCTCAAGGCTTACAAATCCTTCTTTAACCTGTCTCCTCCCCTTCATCTACACTGACTGAAGTGGATTTACTGTAACACGTGACATCAATAAGGCATCATAGCTTTCACCTGGATTCACCTGGTCCATTTATGTCATGGAAAGAGCAGGTGTTCTTAATGTTTTGTACTCTCAGTATATATACATATATCATACCCTTTGTCTTATCCCACATTTAGTTTTTACAACTTGAATTCAAAATTGATTAAATAGATGTTCTTCTCCCACATCTACACACAATACCCCATAATGACAAAGTGAAAACATGTTTTTAGACATTTTTGCAAATGTATTGAAAGTGAAATACAGAAATATCTGTATTCACACCCCTGAGTCAATACTTTGTAGAAGCTCCTTTGGCAGCGATTACGTCTGAGAGTCTTTCTGGGTAAGCCTCTAAGAGCTTCCCACACCTGGATTGTACAATATTTGCACATTATTATTTTCCAAATTCTTCAAACTCTGTCAAATTGGTTGTTGATCATCGCTAGACAATCATTTCCAGGTCTTGCCAAAGATTTGAGTAGATGTAAGACAAAACTGTAACTAGGCCACTCAGGAACATTCAATGTCGTCTTGGTAAGCAACTCAAGTGTATATTTGGCCTTGTGTTTTAGGTTACTGTCCTGCTGAAAGGTGAATTAGTCTTCCAGAGTCTGGTGGAAACTGAACCAGGTTTTCCTCTAGGATATTCCTGTGCTTATCTCTATTCTGTTTATTTTTAGCCAAAAAAACTCCCCCTAGTCCTTGCCGATAACAAGCACACCCATAACATGATGCCGCCACCACTATGCTTGACAATATGAAGAGTGATACTCAGTGATGTGTTGTGTTGCCCCAAACATGGCGCTTTATATTCAGGACCAGAAGTTCATTTCTTTGCTACATTTTCTGATGTTTTACTTTAGTGCCTGCAAACAAGACACATGTTTTGGAATATTTGTATTCTTTACAAGCTTCCTTCGTTTCATTCTGTCATTTAATCCTACCCCTCAGCCACCCTGAGCCCATCCCACCTTTCACCATTGACCACCCTCGTTTGGTTTCCATGTGCCATATATATATATATATATTTTCAATTGTGCTATGATGTTTTATATACATTTTGAACCTCTCTAATCGTATAGTATCCACAGATTATGAGCCAAAGATGAAAACCTTTCCTACGAGTATTATTATATTATTTATTGACTGACTATGGCTTTCCAAATTGTCCAACCATGCTATTTAAAAAGGTACATTTTAAGTGAATGTTGTGATCTTTTTAACCATTCCTGAACCTGTGACCAGAAACAAGTTACATAGGGGCAATACCTGAATAAATGATCTGTCACGTCTCCTCCCGTTGCTCCCTCCCGTTGCTCCCCTCCGGCGCTCTGATTCGCCGGTCTACTGAGCCACCGGTCTGAGCGCACCACCTCGGCAAACACAGGAATGGAAACCCAACGCACCCTAATCACCTCCAGCGCACCTGCACCTCATCATCTCATTACCACCAGTATATAGCCCTGGACTGTTCGTTCATTATTGTGTGTAATTGTTAGCGTCGTGTCGTTTACTCGCTCTTTGTTATTCTCTTTTTCATTATTAATTAAACCTTTACCTTGTTAATTCCTGCGTCTGCGTCCTGCCTCTTCGTATCCTCAGTACTCGTCACAGAATCACACACCACTCAAGAAAGTGGATGCAGCAGGAGTTTCCCAGTGCCTGGACCAGCACCAGCAGCAGCTTTCCCAGTTGAACGCCGCCATGCAGGAAGTGCTCCAAACTCTGCATAATCTGCCCAGCGCTCCGGTTCCACCTCAGGGAGATGTGAGTGCACCCAATCCACCTGTTCCTGTTGCTGTCACCCACTTCTGAGGGAACTCTCGCCCTACCGGAGCGCTATGACGGTAAAACAATTAAATGTAGCGGCTTCCAGCTACAGGTTTCACTTTATCTGGCGCGTCAGCCTGAGGCAAATAAGGCCAGGATAGTACTGGTGTATTCGCTACTTAAAGAAAGGCGCTGGATTTGACCACAGCTGTCTGGGAAGGAGGTGAGGCCGTGGCGCTTCCCTACTCCACCTTCCTCGCTCGGTTCAGGGCGGTGTTTGATCATCCCACGGAGGGAAAGGACGGGGGTGAGCGTCTCCTCCAGCTACAACAGAGAGAGGGACCCGTGTCCGAGTGCGCTCTGAGCTTTCGCACGGTGGCGGCGTCTTCCGGCTGGAATGAGCGTGCTCTGCGCACAGCCTTCAGGAGAGGCTCACGGGAGGACATCAAGACAGAACTCACTCGGGATGACGAGATGGACCTTGATACCCTCATCGCTACGTCCATCCATCTTGACAACATGTTGAGAGACAGACGGCATTCTCAACACCTCCCGGAGCCTCGACGTTCACCCCATCTGAGCTATGGAAGCCGCCCTGCCTCCGAGTCCTCACCCATGGAGGTGGGCAGCACCCCCTACACCATCATGGACCACAGATCTCCTGGCGGCTCCCTATCTAGGCGGTATGACTCCCGTAGCCGCTCTGTGAGTGTTACGTCATCTCCTATCACACAACCATTGTTTTTACTTCCCATAACAGTGACTAAGTTATTCCTTCTCTTCCATTTCCACTGCAGTGATAGATTCCGGATCAGCGGGAAACCTTAAAGATAGGGAGCTGGTCTCTGAATGGGGGTTGCCCACCGTGCCACTACCTTCTCCGCTACACGTCACCTCGCTGGACAATAAACCCCTTGGATCAGGCATCATTACGCACGTCACTCTCCCCATCACCATTCCCACACTACCAGAGCACCACGAGGAGCAATCATTACTCATCGTCACGTCAGCCCTTCACTGGATCGTCTTGGGATTGCCCTGGCTCAGACTACACAACCCCACCATCAATTGGATCACCAAGGGGATCACAGCCTGGTTCACCTCATGCCGGAAGACCTGCCTGCTGGTGGTTTGTTGTTCCACGTCAGTGGAGAGTACGGAGTCCGCCCTCCAGCCCAACATTCCACGTGAGTACCCAGATCTCTCCGATGTCTTCTCTTCATCAAAGGCTTCGTGTCTCAAAAAAGACGGGGAGAACTGAGGCCGTGCATTGACTACAGGGGGCTTAACGCAGTCACAACCAAGTACCGGTACACCGTCCCTCTGGTTCCGTCGGCCATCGAGCAGCTACGAGGGGCCCGGTACTTTACCAAGTTGGACCTGAGGAATGCCTACAACCTGATCCGAATCCAGGAAGGAGACGGTTGGAAGACGGCATTCAGCACTACCTCAGGCCAGTATGAATACTAAGTCATGCCCTACGGCCTCTCCAATGCACCTTCTATGTTCTAGTCCTTCGTCAATGACGTGTTCCGAGACATGCTGAGTAGACAGGTGGTGGTGTACATCGACAATATCCTGATCTACTCTGCTACTTCGGAAACACAGCCTGTTGGTGAAGGGATAGAAAGGGATACAGGATCAGTCCTCAGGGGGTGTTCATGGAAAGACTGAAGACGGATGCCGTCAGGTCATGGCCACTCCCCACCACCATAAAGGAACTACAGAGCTTCCTGGGCTTCGCCAATATCTACCGGCGTTTCAGCAGGTCCTTCAGCTCCAAAGCCGCCCCGCTCACCTCTCTCCTTAAGGGTGGGCCTCAGAAGCTGGCCTGCAACCCTGAGGCTGACGCTTCCTTCAAGAGGCTGAAGGAGAGGTTCACCACAGCGTCCATCCTAAAACAACCCGATCCATCTTGTCCTTTCATCCTGCAGGTGGACGCATCGGAGGAGGGCGTGGGTGCGGTCCTCTCCCAGCGGCACGGTAAGCCAGAGAAAATGTATCCCTGTGCCTTGTTCTCTAAAAAGCTTACCCCCTGCAGAGAGGAACTATGGAGTTGGAGACGGGGAGCTGTTGGCGGTGGCCCTCACTCTGGAGGAATGGGGACACTGGCTGGAGGGCGCAGTACATCCATTCCGGATTCTTACTGACCACCAGAATTTGGAGAACATACGGGCAGCGAAATGGATGAACTCTCGTCAAGCCAGGTGGGCCCAATTTCTTTCTCGCTTTCAATTAATTCTGTCCTACCGACCATGATCCCAGAATGTGAAAACCGACGCACTCTCCATGATGCACCATACCGGAGAGAGGAAGGACCTGGGGGTCCTATCCTGCCCCCGTGTCTCATCGTTGCACCTGTGATTTGGGATGTGGATGAAGACATCCCCCTGGTGGCTCAAGAGGACCCAGCGCCTGCCAGGTCGCTGAGGTCTTGTTCCAACAGGTCTTCCGGCACTATGGACTTCCGGAGGACATCGACTTGGACCGTGTCCCCCAATTCACCTCCCGAGTGTGGAAAGCTTTCCTGGAGAAGATCGGGGCCACGGCCAGCCTCACTTCCGGGTATAGGCCTCAGTCAAATGGGCAGGTGGAGCGTATGAACCAGGAGCTGGGAAGGTTTCTTCGTTGCCACTGTCAGGACCGGCATGGTGAGTGGGCGAAGTTTCTTCCCTCGGCAGAATATGCCCAGAACTCCCTCGTTCACTCCTCCACCCACTCCCTTCTAGTGCGTCCTGGGGTACCAGCTGGCCCTGGCCCCTTGGACACCCAGCCAGACCGATGCGCCCGCTGTCGAAGAGTAGTTGCGCAGGGCCGGACAGGTCTGGGATGCCGCCCATGTCCATCTCCAGATGGCCATTAGTCGGCAGAAGGACCAAGCTGACTGCCACCGCAATGAGGCCTCTGTATTCCAGCCTGGTGATCGCGTCTGGCTTTCCAATCGAAACCTTCCTCTCCGCCTGCCGTGCAAGAAACTGAGCCCCCGGTGTGTGGGGACGTTTAAGGTCCTCCGGCAGCTTAATGAGGTGTCGTAACGGCTGCTCCTTCCCCCTCACTACCGTTTCTCCCTAGGCCGGTGGTTCCTGGTCCTCTGGTGGATGCCGTCCCCCGGGGTACGCCCCCTCCGCCCCTGAACATTGAAGGGAGTCCGGCGTATGCTGTGAGGGTTCTTATGGACTCCAGGTTCCGTGGGGGACAGCTCCATTACCTGGTGGACTGGGAGGGGTATGGCCCTGAGGAGAGGAGCTGGGTTCCGGCTGGGGACTTTCTGGACCCCAACCTAATTCAGGACTTCCACCGTCACCACCCTGACCGGCCCGCTCCTCATCCTCGGGGTCGTCCTCCTGGCCGGGGGGATTGAATTTGTGTTTGAAATTCACTACTGGACTGAGGGACCTTACAGATAATTGATGTGTGGGTCACAGAGATGAGGTAGTCATTCAAAAATCATGTTAAATATTATTATTGTACACAGAGTGAGTCCATGCAACTTATTATGTGACTTGTTAAGCATATTTTTACTCCTGAACTTATCTAGGCATGCCCTAACTAAGGGTTAAATACTTATTGACTCAAGACATTTCAGATGTTCTTTTTTAATTAATTTGTAAACATTTAAAGAGGAAAATAATTCCACATTGACCATTATTGCTTATTGTGTGTAGGCCAGTGACACACAATCTACATTTTTTATTTTAAATTTAGGCTTTAACACAAAATGTGGAAAAAGTCAAGGGTTGTGAATACTTTCTGAAGGCATTGTATATGTACATATCTACCTCAACTACCTTGTACCCCAACACATCAACTCGGTACTGCTACCCCGTTTATACAGCCAAGTGATCGTTACCCATTGTGTATTTATAATTACTTTTATTATTGCTGTGTTATTACTTTTCTATTATTTCTCTATTGTCTTTCTCTCTGCATTGTTGGGAAGGGCCCGTAAGCGTTTCATTGTTAGTCTACACCTGTTGTTATGACGAAAAACATTTAAATTGATTTTATTTTATGATTTAGCGAGTACCGCTTCCTCTTGATTTGGCTCACACCGAGGCTCAAACTCGGGACCTCTGCCTTGCTAGCACTCCTGAAGCGTCTTATACAGTACCAGTCGGTGCCACGCGAAAGCTAGCTATTCTATATTATGCTACTTCAGGCTGAGGAGTAAGTTTCACACATACCCATGTGCTACACTAACTGTTGATATGTTACATGTCAGGAGGTTATACAAGGACTTGACTTTTCTGCAATTTTCTGCAATGCCATTTCTCCAATAATCTCTCAGTTAAAGACAATACAGCAACATTATACTGTATACCAGCAGACACTATACAGTCTATTACTTGTATAACAGACAGGAAGGAGAGGAATAAAGGTGTATGTTTCAGGATTAACTACTCATGTGATTGTGGTAATGTGCTACTCAAGTCCTTTTGTTCACCTGGCATAGAACACCTCACAATCAAATGCAGACCGCATTACCTCCCGAGACAACTCTCTTCGGTCATCGTCACAGCCCTGTATATTTCACGACGGCTCTCAAGGAACTACACTGGACTTTGTAAAAACTGGAAACCGCATATCACGAGGCCACATTTATTGTAGCTGGGGACTTGAGTAAAGCTAATCTGAGGAAAACACTACCAAAGTTTTACCAACACATTGCCTGTGCTACTTGTACATCAAAAAACTATCTCCCTTCCGGGACGGCTACAAGGCCCTACCTTCGGCAAATCAGATCACACCTCCATTCTGATCCTCCCTTCCTATAGGCAGAAAATCTAACAGGAAGCACTCATGGTAAGGACTGTTTCATTTACCAAGAAAAGCAAAACACTAATTTAAAATCCATAATACGTGATAAAAATAGAATACAGAACACTTGAAACATTACAGGACATTTTTCATGATGGAAATTGAAATGTTAAAATGTGATTGTAAAAATGAGAATTTTGAGGAAAACCATTTAACAGCTACATTTATAATACAGTCTGATAGCAGTGGGTATATTGACGTTTCGCAGGTGGTTTGTACGGGCAGTTATACAGGGCAGTTGGTGGCTGTTTCTCAGGAGCCTGGTGGTGCAGTTTCCTCTTTTTGGAGAGAGAAGGTCATTCAGTGGATGGTCAAGAGTGTGCATGTCCTTCACCAGGTGTACTGCAGCCTGCTCTCCCCTGCTCTGCAGTGACGGGAGCTGTGGTTGGACTGCTCTACCTCCGGAAATGATCCTCAAGGCCCTCCTCTGCACCCTGTCTAATTGGGCCAACTGCTTTTTAATGCATCTAACTAACAGCACTCCACCGTATTCCAAACAAGGCCTGACCAGTGTAGCGTATACTGTGATCAGATCTTCAGTGGGTAGGCCATTTCTGGCAAAAACAGTCATAAATTGCAGGCGTTTTGAGGCCTCCCTCATTGACTGCTTCACGTACAGTGGATTTGGAAAGTTTTCAGAACCCTTGACTTCATACTTTGTTGAAGCACCTTTGGTAGTGATTACAGCCTCGAGTCTTCTTGGGTATGACGCTACAAGCTTGGCACACCTGTATTTGGGACGTTTCTCCCATTCCTCTCTGCAGATAATCTCAAGCTCTGTCAGGTTGGATGGGGAGCGTCGCTGCACAGCTATTTTCAGGTCTCTCCAGAGATGTTCGATCGGGTTCAAATCCGGGATCTGGCTGGGCCATTCAAGGCCATTCAGAGACTTGTCCTGAAGCCACTCCTGGGTTGTCTTGTTTGTGTGCTTAGGGTCGTTGTCCTGTTGGAAGGTGAACCTTCACCCCAGTCTGAGGTCCTGAGTGCTCTGGAGCAGGTTTTCATCAAGGATCTCTCTGTATTTTGCTCTGTTCATCTTTCCCACAATCTTGACTAGTGTCCCTGCTGATAAAAAACATCCCCACAGCACGATGCTGCCATCACCATACTTCACGGTAGGGATGGTGCCAGGTTTCCTCCAGACGTGACGCTTGGCATTCAGGCCAAAGAGTTCAATCTTGGTTTCATCAGACCAGAGAATCTTATTTCTCATGGTCTGAGAGTCCTTTAGTTGCCTTTTGGCAAACTCCAAGCGGGCTGTCATGTGCCTTTTACTGAGGAGTGGCTTCTGTCTGGCTACTCTACCATAAAGGCTTGATTGGTGGAGCGCTGCAGAGATGGTTGTCCTTCTGGAAGGTTCTCCCATCTCCACAGAGGAAGATTGGAGCTCTGTCAGAGTGACCATCGGGTTCTTGGTCACCTTCCTGACCAAGGCCCTTCTCCACCGATTGCTCATTTCAGCCCAGCGGCCAGCTCTAGGAAGAGTCTTGGTGGTTCCAAACTTCTTCCATTTAAGAATGATGGAGGCCACTGTGTTCTTGGGGACCTTCAATGCTGCAGACATTTTTTGGTACCCTTCCCCAGATCTGTGCCTCGACACAATCCCATCTCGGAGCTCTATGGGCAATTCCTTCGACCTCATGACTTGGTTTTTGCCCTGACATGCACGGTCAACTGTGGGACCTTATATAGACATGTGTTTGCCTTTCCAAGTCTTGTCCAATCAATTGAATTTTCCAAAGATGGACTCCAATCAAGTTGTAGAAACATCTCAAGGATGATCAATGGAAACAGGATGCACCTGAGCTTAATCCATTTTAGAATAAGGCTGTAATGTGGAAAAAGTCAAGTGGTCTGAATACTTTCCGAATGCACTGTATGTTTCACCACTGAGGTTAGAGTCTAGATGAAAATCAAGATACTTGGTTGTTGTTACCACTGGTACTTCCTGTCCTCCTAGGATTAGTGGTGCAGGTTGTGGATGGTCTCTAGAAAAACATATCTGAATTTCCACAGACTTTTTCCCATTCAGGAGCATGTTGTTGGATGTGGCCCACTCTTTCTGCTGCTTTGTCTCCAAGCCCATGGAAGAGTCCTCTTGGATGCTGGTTAATGGTATGGCTCGGGACAGCCCTACATCGTCTGCATACCCAGTGTCCAGAGTGTCACTGAAGACAACTTTTCAGGTGGACATGTGAAATAGGAAAACAGATATGGTGAAACCACGCCCCCTTGTGGCACACCAGAGGTGACCTCTGACCTAAATGTGCCATTTGCCATTACCCTCTGCCTCTGGTGGTGTAGCTGTAGATCCAGGCTAGTAACCTTGGACACAATTCAATGTCAGACAGATGTTGCAGGAACGAGTAGATCACGCAAAGCTTTGGACATATCAGCAAGCAACACCCTCACAATTGTTGGTTTTCTGGAGTCTGTAGCTGTCAGCCAGGAGTGACTGTTCAATGCTGGTCTGAGCAATCGGAATCCATGCTTCAAGATTGTTTTGATGACGCTGACTGGGATATGTTCCGGGTTGCCTCTGCCAATAACATTGACGTATACACCTGACACAGTGAGTTCATCCGGAAAGTGCATACGGGATGCTGTTCCTACCATGACGATTAAAACCTATCCAAACCAAAGAACATGGATAGATGGCAGCATTCGCGCAAAACTGAAAGCATGAACCAACGCATTTAACCACGGCAAGCTGACTGGGAATATGGTTGAATACAAACAGTGCAGTTATGCCCTCCAGTAAGGCAATCAAACAGTAAAACATCAGTACAGAGACATATTCGAGTCGCAATTCAACGGCTCAGACACGAGACGTATGTGGCAGGGACTCCAGACAATCACGGATTATAAAGGGAACACCAGCCACGTCGCAGACACCGACTTCTTGCTACCGGACAAGCTAAATAACTTATTTGCCTGCTTCGAGGAAAACACAGTGACATCGATGTGGACCACCGATGCTTCTGAGGACTGTGAGCTCTCGTTCTCCGTGGCCGACTTGAGTAAGTCATTTAAGCATGTTAACCCTCGCAGGGCATCCCTAGCCGCATCCTCCGAGCATGCGCAGACCAGCTGCCTGGAGTATTTACTAACATATTCAATCTCTCCTATCCCAGTCTGCTGTCCCCACTTTCTTCAAGATGTCCACCATTGTTCCTGTACCCACGACAGTGAAGTTAACAGAACTAAATGACTATTGCACCACAGCACTCACTTCTGTCATCATGAAGTGCTTTGAGAGGTTGGTTAAGGATCATTCCACGGATGATGCAATCGCCATCGCACTGCACACTGCCCTATCCCATCTGGACAAGAGGAATACCTACGTAAGAATGCTGTTAATTGAACACAGCTCAGCCTTCAACACCATAGTACCCTCCAAGCGCATCATTAAGCTTGGGGCCCTGGGTCTGAACCCAGCCCTGTGCAACTGGGTCCTGGACTTCCTGATGGGCTGCCCCCAGGTAGTGAAGGTAGGAAACAACACCTCACCTACGCTAATTCTCAACACAGGGGCCCCACAAGGGTGCATGCTCAGCCCCCTCCTGTACTCACTGGCCACGCATGTCTCCATCTCAATCATCAAGTTTGCAGACGACACAATAGTGGTTGGCCTGATTACCAACAACGATGAGAGCCTACAGGGAGGAGGTGAGGGCCCTGGCGGAGAGGTGCCACCTCTTCAACCGCGCCTCTCCAACCTCAGGAGGCTGAAGAAATTTGGCTTGGCCCCTAAGAGCCTCACAAACCTTTACAGATGCACCATTGAGAGCATTTTGTCGGGCTGTATCACCGCCTGGTACGGCAACTGAAAGGTCCGCAACCGCAGGGCTCTCCAGAGGGTGGTGCAGTCTGCCCAACGTATCACCGGGGACACGCTGTCTGCCCTCCAGGACATCTACAGCACCGGGTGCCACAGGAAGGCAAAGAAGATCATCAAGGACCTCAGCCACCCGAGCCACGGCCTGTTCACCCTGCTCCCATCCAGAAGGCGAGATCAGTACAGGTGCATCAAAGCTGGAACCGAGAGACTGAAAAACAGCTTCTATCTCAAGGCCATCAGACTGTTAAATAGTCACCACTAGCTGGCCTACACTCAGTACCCTGCCCTGAACTTTAGTCACTGTCACTAACCGGCTACCACCCGGTTACTCAACCCTGCACCTTAGAGGCTGCTGCCCTATGTACATAGACATGGAACACTGGTCACTTTAATAATGGAACACCGGTCACTTTAATAATGGAACACTGGTCACTTTAATAATGGAACACTGGTCATTTGAATAATGTTTACATGCTGTTTTACTCATTTCATATGTATATACTGTATTCTAGTCAAGGCCATCCTATTTACTGTAACTATTGCTGTACATTTACTATCCTGTCCTACATATTCTTTCAGATATACTACGTATTCTATCCATATGCTGTCCGTAATGTCTATACATTAGTTATTAGATAATCAAAAACAAACATAATATGACTTTCGTTTTTGGTGTTTTTATGAATTGTGCACAGAGTGAAGTATATATTTTTTTACTGTAAGCTATTTACACACTCCTGATAAAGCAACACTCTAGTTACAGTATATTTCCTTTGTAGTTACAGTATATTTCCTTTGTAGTTACAGTATATTTCTCTGAAACAGATAAACCGCAGATCAGGAAAACATGTCAAGGCCAGTGTGAGAGAAAAGAAGCACTGGTTATACAAGCACCACCAACTAGTTGTATGTAAAGAAAATAAAATATAAAGTAATGGTGACTATAACTGTTGATTGAGGCCCCTGGCATTTTCCTCCCATCTTGAGTACAGTAGATATTTCTCAGGTACAGCGTTGTTGTTTGCAACTAGTACACACACAGTCATCACAACTCAGCAGAAATGAATAGGCACTCCAAGTAGGTATACGATGGATTATTTATTTCAAACCATTCTAAATCAGGAGTCCAACACATCTTAAACATAAACACTATGAACACTGAATTAATATGTCTGTCTATAACATGTCTATGATCTATAGTTACATACAGTATATCCATACATTTATAGTTTATAATCACTGTAAATGTTAGTTTTCTTTTTTTGCATGATATTGACAGTGAGATGTTCCTTCCACTAGATCAAATGGTGCAATCGCAGATGTCCACTCCAGATATTGATTTTATAGTGGTCTTTGGTAAAACAAAAGCTAACTCTGACAAACTGTTGCGCCATTCACTTGTTATTTAGCAAATACTACTTTATCTCTCGGTTCGCAACGGGGCCATACACAAGGTAAGGTTGCAGCTAACATTATTCAGTGTTTCCTTTTGGGTAAGAATATTGAGCACAACTTTCATGAACCACACTCTTAGAAAAAAAAAGTGCTATTTAGAACCTAAAAGGATTATTTGGCTGTTCTCATAGGAGAACCCTTTGAAGAACCCTTTTTGGTTCTGGGTAGAACTCTTTTGGGTTCCATGTAGAACCCTTTGCACAGAGGGTTGTGCATGGAACCTAAAAGGGTTCTACCTGGAACCAAAAACATATATTTAATGTATGCCTACTTGAAACACAGGGTAGTGTTGTCCCATATTTGCATATTCTTAGAAAGGAAATGTCCTAGAGTAAGTAGAACCATACAGGGTTCTTCGGTTTATCCCCATAGGGGAACACTTTTTGGTGCTGGGTAGAACCGTTTGCAGAGGGGTTATATTTACAACCCTCTATGTAGGGTTCTTCAAAGAACCCCCTGTATATGGTTCGGCCTAGAACCCTCTATGAAGGGTTCTACTAAGAACCATGTTATCATCTAAAGATTCTTCCTAGAACCGTCTATGAAGGGTTCTACCGAGAACCCTTTTATCTTTGGAGGGTTCTTCAATGAACAGTTCCACCAGCCTTATTAGCCTTTAAAATCTAATTATTTATGACAATACATTACATATATCATAAGGCCTTTCTTTGAGAGCCTAGTTACAGTGAGGGAAAAAAGTATTTGATCCCCTGCTGATTTTGTACGTTTGCCCACTGACTAAGAAATGATCAGTCTATAATTTTAATGGTAGGTTTATTTGAACAGTGAGAGACAGAATAACAACAAAAAAATCCAGAAAAACGCATGTCAAAAATGTTATAAATTGATTTGCATTTTAATGAGGGAAATAAGTATTTGACCCCCTCTCAATCAGAAAGATTTCTGGCTCCCAGGTGTCTTTTATACAGTTAACAAGCTGAGATTAGAAGCACACTCTTAAAGGGAGTGCTCCTAATCTCAACGTGTTACCTGTATAAAAGACACCTGTCCACAGAAGCAATCAAACAATCAGATTCCAAACTCTCCACCATGGCCAAGACCAAAGAGCTCTCCAAGGATGTCAGGGACAAGATTGTAGACCTACACAAGGCTGGAATGGGCTACAAGACCATCGCCAAGCAGCTTGGTGAGAAGGTGACAACAGCTGGAATGGAAGAAATCACCTCGTGGAGTTGCAATGATCATGAGAACGGTGAGGAATCAGCCCAGAACTACACAGGAGGATCTTGTCAATGATCTCAAGGCAGCTGGGACCATAGTCACCAAGAAAACAATTGGTAACACACTACGCCGTGAAGGACTGAAATCCTGCAGCGCCCGCAAGGTCCCCCTGCTCAAGAAAGCACATATACATGCCTGTCTGAAGTTTGCCAATGAACATCTGAATGATTCATAGGAGTATCCCGAGTGGCGCAGTGGTCTAAGGCACTGCATCGCAGTGCTAGTTGTGCCACTAGAGATCCTGGTTTGAATCCAGGCTCTGTCGTAGCTGGCCGCGACCGGGAGACCCATGGGGCGGCGCCCAGTGTTGTCCAGGGTAGGGGAGGGAATGGCCGGCAGGGATGTAGCTCAGTTGGTAGAGCAGGGTGTTTGCAATGCCAGGGTTGTGGGTTCGATTCCCACGGGGCACCAGTATGAAAATATACAAAAATAATGTATGCACTCACTAACTGTAAGTCGCTCTGGATAAGAGTGTCTGCTAAATGACTAAAATGAAAAAAATTAGACCTGGGTGAAAGTGTTGTGGTCAGATGAGACCAAAATGGAGCGCTTTGGCATCAACTCAACTCGCTGTGTTTGGAGGAGGAAGAATGCTGCCTATGACCCCAAGAACACCGTCAAACATGGAGGTGGAAACATTATGCTTTGGGGGTGTTTTTCTGCTAAGGGGACAGGACAACTTCACCGCATCAAAGGGACGATGGACGGGGCCATGTACCGTCAAATCTTGGGTGAGAACCTCTTTCCCTCAGCCAGGGCATTGAAAATGGGTCGTGGATGGGTATTCCAGCATGATAATGACCCAAAACACACGGCCAAGGCAACAAAGGAGTGGCTCAAGAAGAAGCACATTAAGGTCCTGGAGTGGCCTAGCCAGTCTCCAGACCTTAATCCCATAGAAAATCTGTGGAGTGAGCTGAAGTTCGAGTTGCCAAACGTCAGCCTCGAAACCTTAATGACTTGGAGAAGATCTGCAAAGAGGAGTGGGACAAAATCACTCCTGAGATGTGTGCAAATCTGGTGGCCAACTACAAGAAACGTCTGACCTCTGTGATTGCCAACAAGGGTTTTGCCATCAAGTACTAAGTCATGTTTTGCAGAAGGGTCAAATACGTATTTCACTCATTAAAATGCAAATCAATTTATAACATTTTTTACATGCATTTTTCTGGATTTTGTTGTTGTTATTCTGTCTCTCACTTTTCGAATAAACCTACCATTAAAATTATAGACTGATCATTTCTTTGTCAGTGGGCAAACGTACAAAATCAGCAGGGGATCAAATACTTTTTTCCCTCACTGTATATGGTTCTATGTAGAACCCTTCTTGCCTTCCAAAGGATCATCAAATAAATCCCTTTCTTCCAGAAACGGTTCTTAGGATGTTAAAGGTGCTATGTAGAACCCTTCCAAAAAGGGTTATTCTGATCAAAATGGTTCTTGTTAGAACCCTATCCCTCTGCAAAGAACCCTTTTTTCTAAAAGTGTACTTCAGGAAAGTAGGCCTTAGTATGCCAGAGGTATTTTTCACTCTTCTATTTTGGGAGGAAAACTCTGCAGGTTACTTCATCGTGAGAAAGACTTGATACCACACACCTGCTTTTACACTGCCCATGGACATGTAGATAAACACATGTTGATTCTTTAAAGAAACCTAACACGCCCTGTCATTGGCCAGAGTGTGAATGGTCAGAGTACTACGCTCTGTATATATACTGGGTGTCAACCCTCCAGTTAGTTGTCTGTGTTTTCTGTCTCGATCAGGGAGACAACATGATGAAGTATCTAGTTCTGTTGGCCCTCCTGGGGCTGAGTCAGTCTTACCACAACCCCCACAACAAGCATGGCAGGCAGGCCATCGTCCACCTGTTTGAGTGGAAGTGGAGCGACATCGCGGCTGAGTGTGAGAGGTTCCTGGCTCCCAAAGGATACGCTGGGGTTCAGGTATGTACTGTAGGAGTATGGAGAAAGACAGGAGTTTTTCCTGTTTAGGTCAACTGGTCAAGAAAGACTCCAAGCCCAGGGTATTTGAGATTCTTCAAATAGCCACCCTTGATGACAGCTTTGCACACTCTTGGCATTCTCTCAACCAGCTTCACCTGGAATGCTTTTCCAACAGTTGAAGGAGTTCCCACATATGCTGAGCACTTGTTGGCTGCTTTTCCTTCACTCTGCGGTCCGACTCATCCCAAACCATCTCAATTGGGTTGAGGTCGGGGGATTGTGGAGGCCAGGTCATCTGATGCAGCACTCCATTACTCTCCTTCTTGGTAAAATAGCCCTTACACAGCCTGGAGGTGTGTTGGGTCATTGTCCTGTTGAAAAACAAATGATAGTCCCAGTCATCGCAAACCAGATGGGATGGCAAATCGCTGCAGAATGCTGTGGTAGCCATGCTGGTTAAGTGTGCCTTGAATTCTAAATAAATCACAGACGGTGTCACCAGCAAAGCATCCCCACACCATAACACCTCCTCCTTCATGCTTTACGGTAGGAACTACACATGCAGAGATCATCCATTCACCCACACCGCGTCTCACAAAGACACGGCGGTTGGTACCAAAAATCTCCAATTTGGACTCCAGACCAAAGGACAAATTTCCACCGGTCTAATGTCCATTGCGCGTGTTTCTTGGCCCAAGCAGGACTCTTCTTATTATTGGTGTCCTTTAGTAGTGGTTTCTTTGCAGCAATGCGACCATGAAGGCCTGATTCACACAGTCCCCTCTGAACAGTTGATGTTTAGATGTGTCTATGACTTGAACTCTGTGAAGCATTTATTTGGGCTGCAATTTCAGAGGCTGGTAACTTTAATGAACTTTTCCCCTGCAGCAGAGGTAACTCTGGGGCTTCCATTCCTGTAGCGGTCCTCACGAGAGCCTGTTTCATCATAGCGCTTGATGGTTTTTGCGACTGCACTTTAAGAAACTTTCAAAGTAATTGAAATTTTCCATATTGGCTGACCTTCATGTCGTAAAGTAATGATGGACTGTCGTTTCTCTTTGCTTATTTGAGCTGTTCTTGCCATAATATGGACTTGGTCTTTTACCAAATAGGGCTATCTTCTGATTACCCCCCTACCTTGTCACAACACAACTGATTGGCTCAAACGCATTAAGAAGGAAAGAAATTCCACAAATTAACTTTTAAGAAGGCACACCTGTTAACTTCTATGGGATCGGTGTCCCGTATACAGGACAGTTGAGCTAACTTGCGCTAATGTGATTAGCATGACTGTTGTAAGTAACAGCAAACTTTCCAGGACATAGATATGTCTTATATGGGCAGAAAGCTTACATTCTTGTTAATCTAACTGCACTGTCCAATTTACAGTAGCTATGACAGTGAAAAAATACCATGCTATTGTTTGAGGAGAGTGCACAACAACAAAAAACCTATCACAGCAACTGGTTTGATACATTCACCTCTGAAGGTAAATAATGTACTTACATTTAGTAATCTTGCTCTGATTTGTCATCCTAAGGGTCCCAGAGATAACATGTAGCATAGTTTTGTTTGATAAAATCAATTGTTATATTCAAATGTAGGAACTGGGTTTCTACAGTTTGAACCCCTGCTGTCTCTGGCTCCACACCCACCCCGCCCGGTCATCTAGATGTGTGAAAGTTAGTGTATAAGCTAATGATCCATCATGTATGACATTCCTGGGAGTGTGTAAGCTTACATTTTGTATTACCATATCATTTTTGTATGTTCTCTATAGTTATGTACTTGAAAATGTATCAAATGACCAATTCTGCACAGTGGGCAGACTTGATACGAAATAGTCCAGTGTTGCGATACTTCACTGGATCAATCTGAAACTTTGCACACACACTGCTGCCATCTAGTGGCCAAAATCTAAATAGCTTCTAAACTGCAATATTATATTGTGGCCTTTCTCTTGCATTTAAAAGATGAGGGAACACTATTTAGGTTACAACATGATTCCATATGTGTTATTTCATAGTTTTGATGTCTTCACAATTATTTGACAATGTAGAAAATAGTAAAAATAAAGAAAAACCCTTAAATTAGTAGGTGTTCTAAAACTTTTGACCGGTGGTGTATATATATATATATATATATATATATATATATATATATATATATATATATATATATATATATATAGTATTAGTCTGAAATAAATCATTCTCTCTACTATTATTCTGACATTTCACATTCTTAAAATAAAGTGGTGATCCTAACTGACCTAAGACGGGGAATTTTTACTAGGATTAAATGTCAGGAATTGTGAAAAAGTTTAAATGTATTTGGCTATGGTGTATGTAAACTTCCGATTTCAACTGTATACTGTATAGAGAGCAATAGATACAGATACAGATATATATAGAGTAATAGATACCGAGTGCACGTTTTCATTTTATTTTTTAAAGATATGGTTGAAATGGGCATGGTCTAATTCACTCAACAGCCAAAAACACATATCTACGTTTAGCTATCTTAACTGTTGTTTTTTATGTTTGCTGGCCATTGATTCTGCTTCATGGTGTACCCCTCTGTGGTGTTGTTTGAGTAAGACATTTACCCATGCAGTTGTCTCTTTCTCTTAGATCTCCCCTCCTCAAGAGAGCATTTTGTTGACCAGCCCGTGGAGACCTTGGTGGGAGCGGTACCAGCCAATCAGCTACAACCTGTGTTCCCGATCAGGAAATGAGAATGAGCTCAGAGACATGATTACCAGATGCAACAACGTTGGGGTAAACAAAAAACAAACCAACCAACACACATGATCATGAACTATGAATTATGCATATAATAGAAGACCATTACTAGTAGATAAGTAGGCTACTTTTTGGAGTCAGAATTGTCTCCTGCTCTCCTCCCACACAAACACACACAGAAAAAATGTAAATCATCATCCAACCAAGTATAACTGATGATCAAACAACTCTTAGCGAAAATATAATCCGAAAAATTATTCCTCCAGACTTATGTCCTGTTCTGCTTTTTTTTTTTTTGTGAAGACACTAACCCTCTCCTAATAATCCCAGGTTAACATCTACGTTGATGCCATCATCAACCACATGTGTGGAGCCGGAGGCGGAGAGGGAACCCACTCTACCTGTGGAACCTACTTCAGCGCCGACAGGAAGGACTTCCCCTCCATCCCCTACAGTAGCTTTGATTTCAACGAAGGCAAGTGCAGAACCGGCAGCGGAGACATCGAGAACTACAATGACATCTACCAGGTACGAGTCGAGTAGACACTACATATTTATTGCCGGTCTTCATTTATTTTTTACGCAATTACACAAAAAGTATGGTTCTCTTTCTGTGGAGATGTTGATTATGGCCATAGGTCTGGTGGTCTTAAGACCACTTTAAGGAGTATAACATATATATCTATAACATATCAAATATACAGTGCCCTCCACTATTATTGGCACCCCTGTTTAAGATGTGGTCGAGGACTTCCAAAAATGCTCATTTTTTTTAAAACAACATAGAACCCAAATGCAAAAAAATAGAAAAATCCAACCTTTTATTTAAGTACATTACTTTGGTGGTAAAAAAAAAAAATCACACATTTAGAAAAACAAAACTTGAAATCATGTGTCCCACAATTATTGGCACCCCTAACAATTCCGCTGAAAATTTTAATTGATTTTTTTTTAAATATATTTTTCTGTATTTGCTAAAGTTGGTCAGGGTATCTAGGAACTTTTATTTAGTAATTCATGACTTCCTGTTTCCCTGGGGTATAAATATGACATGACACAGAGGCCTAATTCTCTTACCCATTTGTCAACATGGCAAAGACAAGAGAACACACCATTCAAGTAAGGCAGATTTGTGTCGACCTTCATAAGTCAGGCAATGGCTACAAGAAAATAGCCACTCGCCTTAACTTGCCCGTATCTACAGTCAGAGGAATCATTAAGAAGTTTAAAACAACTGGAACAGTGACAAACAAGGCTGGAAGAGGTCCCAAGTTTATCTTGCCACAACGCACAGTGAGGAGGATGGTAAGAGAAGTAAAAAAAAGTCCTAAGCTCACTGTCACAGAATTGCATCAAAGAGTGGCATCTTGGGGTCACAAAGTCTCCAAAACAACCATCAGACGCTCTCTACATGCCAACAAGCTGTTTGGGAGGCATGCAAGGAAAAAGCCTTTTCTCATTAACACTCACAAACATAAACGTCTGGAGTTTGCTAAGCGGCACTGGGACTTCAACTGGGATCGTGTGCTTTGGTCAGATGAGACTAAGATTTAGCTTTTTGGCAACAAACACTCTAAGTGGGTCTGGCGTAAAACAAAAGATGAGTATGCCGAAAAGCACCTCATGCCCAGGATCTGTGATGCTGTGGGCCTGTTTCTCTTCCAAAGGCCCTGGGAACCTTGTTAGGGTGCATGGCATTATGAACGCTTTGAACTACCAGGACATTTTAAATAAAAACCTGATGGCCTCTGCCAGAAAGCTGAAGATGGGTCGTCATTGGGTCTTTCAGCAGGATAATGATCCAAAACATGTGGCAAAATCTACACAAAAATGGTTCAGCAGTCACAAACTCAAGGTCCTCCCATGGCCATCTCAGTCCCCAGACCTCAACCCAATCGAAAACCTGTGGGGCAAGCTAAAGAGGAGAGTGCATAAGAGAGGACCCAGGACACTGGATGATCTAGAAAGATTGTGCAAAGAAGAATGGTCAAAGATCCCTCTCTCTGTGTTCTCCAATCTTGTGAAATGTTATAGGAGGAGATTAAGTGCTGTCTTGTTGGCAAAAGGGGGTTGTACAAAGTATTAACATCAGGGGTGCCAATAATTGTGGGACACATGATTTCAAGTATTTTTTTTCAAAATGTGTGATTTTTTTTTTTACACCAAAGTAATGTACTTAAATAAAAGGTTGGATTATTCTATTTTTTTGCATTTGGGTTCTATGTTGTTTAAAAAAAAAAGGAGAATTTTTGGAAGTCCTCGACCACATCTTAAACAGGGGTGCCAATAATTGTGGAGGGCACTGTATATACATACAGTTCCTTGCAAAAGTATTCATCCCCCTTGTTGTTTTTCCTATTTTGTCGCATTACAATCTGTAATTTAAATTGATTTTTATTTGGATTTCATGCAATGGACATACACAAAATAGTCCAAATTAGTGAAGTTAGTTTAAAAAGATTCTAAAAAATAAATAACGGAAAAGTGATGCGTGCATATGTATTCACCCCCTTTGCAATGAAGCCCCTAAATAAGATCTGGTGCAACCAATTACCTTCAGAAGTCACATAATTAGTAAATAAAGTCCACCTGTGTGCAATCTAAATGTCACATGATCTGTCACATGATCTCAGTATATATACACCTGGGTTATATAAAAAAATATCTGATACTTAGAACATCCCACGGACCACCGTTAAAGACATTATAAAAAAATTGAAAGAATATGGCACCACAAACCTGCCAAGAGAGGGCCGCCCACCAAAACTCACAGACCAGGCAAGGAGGGCATTAATCAGAGAGGCAACAAAGAGACCAACGATAACCCTGAAGGAGCTGCAAAGCCCCACAGCAGAGATTGGAGTATCTGTCCATAGGAACACTTTAAGCCATACACTCCACGGAGCTGGGCTTTACGGAAGAGTGGCCAGAAAAAAGCCATTGCTTAAAGAAAAAAATAAGTGTACACCAAAAGGCATGTGGGAGACTCCCCAAACATATGGAAGTCAAGTAAAACACTATGTCTGGCGCAAACCCAACACCTCTCATCACCCCGAGAACACCATCCATACAGTGAAGCATGGTGGTGGCAGCATCATACTGTGGGGATGTTTTACGTCGGCAGAGACTGGGAAACTGGTCAGAATTGAAGGAATGATGGATGGTGACATGGTGATGATGGATGACATTCTTGAGGGAAACCTGTTTCAGTCTTCCAGAGATTTGAGACTGGGACGGAGGTTCACCTTCCAGCAGGGCAATGACCCTAAGCATACTGCTAAAGCAACACTCAAGTGGTTTAAGGGGAAACATTTAAATGTCTTGGAATGGCCTAGTCAATGCCCAGACCTCAATCCAATTGAGAATCTGTGGTATGACTTAAAGATTGCTGTACACCAGCGGAACCCATCCAACTTGAAGGAGCTGGAGCAGTTTTGCCTTGAAGAATGGGCAAAAATCCCAGTGGCTAGATGTGCCAAGCTTGTAGAGACCCCAAGAGACTTGCAGCTGTCATTGCTGCAAAAGGTGGCTCTACAAAGTATTGACTGAATAGTTATGCACGCTCAAGTTTTCTGTATTTTTGTCTTATTTCTTGTTTGTTTCACAATAAAAAAATATTTTGCATGTTGTGTAAATCAAATGATACAAACCCCCCCAAAAATCTATTTTAATTCCAGGTTGTAAGGCAACAAAATAGGAAAAATGCCAAGAGGGGTGAATACTTCCGCAAGCCACTGTATTTATAAAATTGGGAAACAAACTTTTTTAAACGTCTAATATAATTCAAGTTTGCAGTTTACTTTGTGTTTCAGTTGTATGATGTGGGATACAATACAACGTGTATTATTGTGATACTTTCACACTCTTTCAAGTTGTAAAACGGACAAATGACTGTAATCAGCTTTAAACACAACTTAATGTTTCCATCCCCAAGGTGCGTGATTGTAATCTGGTGAGTCTGCTGGATCTTGCCCTGGAGAAGGACTACGTCAGAGGAAAGGTGGCCGACTTCATGAACAAGCTGATCGACATGGGAGTGGCTGGGTTCAGAGTGGACGCCTGTAAACACATGTGGCCCGGCGACCTTAATGCCATCTACGGACGTCTCCACAACCTCAACACCCGCTGGTTCAACGAGGGATCCAGACCCTTCATGTTCCAGGAGGTAATACAATAATATACTAGAAAATTATACTACTTGGTCCCCCCTCACATAATATAATTGCTTTGAGCATCTGGAAAAGTGCTATATAGGCCCGAATCCAATCAATTTTGTTCCATAATATGTAGACATAACATCAATCATCCCCTTATCAGTCTTGGCATCTCCATTTGTAAAGGTGTATCTTCAACAGCGCTAACTTTTCTTTATTGCTTCCCTCTAGGTTATCGACATGGGTGGTGAGGCCATCAAGTCCTCGGAGTACTTCCACCTGGGCAGAGTCACTGAGTTCAAATATGGAGCCAAAATTGGAGGCATCTTCCGCAAGTGGAACGGCGAAAAGCTGTCTTACACCAAGTGAGATATGATTACATTAATTAACATTGTACATTTCCATTTTAGTCATTTAGCAGACACTCTTATCCGACTAACAACAACTAATTAAAAATGGACTCCAGCTAATTCTGAACTTTTCCTGTTGAAAAACTATATCTGATGTATAAATACAGTAATGTACACACACTTAAGAGGGAAAAAAAATCAACTTAAAGGAGTAGGCCATTCAGAGTTGGGCTGATGGTCTAATGGTCTGATGTGATGTCATCGGCCTCGCCCCTTCCTTGAAGAGAGAAAAAAGCCCCCCCTTTTACCATGTCGTGAGGATACCTGGACCACCTATTTTATTTTTATTTTTTATTTTTCACCTTTTGTTCAGTAAATCAGGTGTTAAATGAGTTGAAAAGGTGACTGGAGTGCCACTTTAACTAATTACAAACTCATATAATATATAATTAAGTACAATTACAAACTCAATCTTTTATCAACACTTGTCATCATTGTGTTTGTGCATGTGGATATTTCAAAGATACAGTTGATCTACTGTATGTGTATTTATAAGTAGACAAATTGTGTGAATTTGTCAAGCTCATTTTTCCTAAATCCTTTCGATGTGTGTATCCCAGGAACTGGGGTGAGGGCTGGGGCTTCATGCCCGACGGCAACGCTCTTGTGTTTATTGATAACCATGACAACCAGAGAGGTCATGGAGGAGGTGGAAACGCCATAGTCACCTTTTGGGATGCCAGGTACCCTCTCACTACACCTCTCTCTTACATTCAATCTTTTTACAACGTACTTTCACTGCACTCATTTACCAATATCCATTTTTTTTTTTACAACATACAGTACACTACAATTCCTTCCTTTTAAAATTCTTCCAGTACCGTAAACACCGATCCCCCAATGACATTATTAACAGAAAAATAACCATTATGACAACAACCATTATATGATGATTCATCGATATTGATTACAGGATTTACAAGATGGCCGTTGCCTACATGCTTGCCCATCCCTATGGGGTGGCCCGTGTGATGTCCTCCTTCCGCTGGAACCGTACTGATGACTGGCAGGGCCCTCCCAGCCACGAAGATGGATCCACCAAGGACGTCCCCATCAACGCTGACAGCACCTGTGGAGACGGATGGGTGTGTGAGCACAGGTGGCGCCAGATCACGTAAGTCCTACAGCGCCAAAGGGAGGTATTGGTTTACATCACAGGATGTTGGACCGGCTTGTGGTTTTCTCAAAATACCAATTAGTGGAAATGCAGCCATATTGCAGCTGATTATACGTTTACAGTGCATTGGGAAAGTATTCAGACCCCTTGACATTTTCCACAATTTGTTACGTTACAGTCTTATTCTGAAATGTATTAAATAAAAAATGTTCCTCATCAATCTATAGACAATAACCCATAATTACAAAGTGAAAACAGGTTTTTAGAAATTGTAGCAAATGTATAAAAAATTCAAAACAGAAATACCTTATTTAAATGAGACTATATATATATATATGCAATAAAATAACAATAACGAGGCTATATACATGGGGTACTGGTACAGAGTCAATGTGCGGGGGCACAGGTTAGTCGAGGTATTATGTACATGTAGGTAGAGTTAAAGTGACTATGCATAGATAATAAACAGAGAATAGCAGCAACGTAAAAGAGGGGGTGGGTTGGGGGGGGTATCCATTTGGTTAGTCCGGGTAGCCATTTGATTAGCTGTTCAGGAGTCTTTTGGCTTGAGGGTAGAAGCTGTTAAGAAGTATTTTGGACCTAGACTTGGAGCTCCGGTACCGCTTGCCTTGTGGTAGCAGAGAGAACAGTATGACTAGGGTGACTGGAGTCTTTGACAATTTATAGGGCCTTACTTTGACACTGCCTGGTATAGAGGTCCTGGATGGCAGGAAGCTTGGCCCCAGTGATGTACTGGGCCGTACGCACTACCCTCTGTAGTGCCTTGCGGTCGGAGGCCGAGCAGTTGCCATACCAGGCAGTGATGCAACCAGTCGGGATGCTCTCGATGGTGAAGCTGTATAACTTTTTGAGGATCTGAGGACCCATACCAAATCTTTTCAGTCTCATTTACATTTTACATTTACGTCATTTAGCAGACGCTCTTATCCAGAGCGACTTACAAATAGGTGCATTCACCTTATAGCCAGTGGGATAACCATTTTAACATTTTATTTTTATTTTCTTATTGGGGGTGGGGGGTGGTTTGGAGTAAGGGGGGGGGGGGGGGGGGGGGGGGGGGGGGGGGTAGAAGGATTACTTTATCCTTAAAGAGGTGGGGTTTCAAATGTCTCCGGAAGGTGGTGAGTGACTCCGCTGTCCTGGCGTCGTGAGGGAGCTTGTTCCACCATTGGGGTGCCAGGGCAGCGAACAGTTTTGACTGGGCTGAGCGGGAACTATGCTTCCGCAGAGGTAGGGGAGCCAGCAGGCCAGAGGTGGATGAACGCAGTGCCCTCGTTTGGGAGTAGGGACTGATCAGAGCCTGAAAGTACGGAGGTGCCGTTCCCCTCACAGCTCCGTAGGCAAGCACCATGGTCTTGTAGCAGATGCGAGCTTCAACTGGAAGCCAGTGGAGTGTGCAGAGGAGCGGGGTGACGTGAGAGAACTTGGGAAGGTTGAACACCAGACGGGCTGCGGCATTCTGGATGAGTTGTAGGGGTTTAATGGCACAGGCAGGGAGCCCAGCCAACGGTGAGTTGCAGTAATCCAGACAGGAGATGACAAGTGCCTGGATTAGGACCTGTGCCGCTTCCTGTGTAAGGCAGGGTCGTACTCTTCGAATGTTGTAGAGCATGAACCTACAGGATCGGGTCACCGCCTTGATGTTAGCGGAGAACGACAGGGTGTTGTCCAGGGTCACGCCAAGGCTCTTCGCAATCTGGGAGGAGGACACAACGGTTTGGAGGACACAATTCCTGAGGGGGAATAGGCTTTGTCATGTCCTCTTCACGACTGTCTTGGTGTGTTTGGACCATGATAGTTTGTTGGTGATGTGGACACCAAGGAACTTGAAGCTCTCAACCTGCACCACTACAGCCCCGTCGATGAGAATTGTCTTGATCACTGTCACGTTCGTTTAAGGACGGGTCAGACCAAGGCGCAGCGTGATATGTGTACATGTTTATTAAACTTTAAACACACGACAAAACAACAAAGGAAACGAAACGTGAAGTCCAAGGTAGAACACACAACATACCTTACAAGGAACAAGATCCCACAACTAGACAGTGCCAATAGGCTGCCTAAGTATGGTCCCCAATCAGAGACAACAAGGCGACAGCTGCCTCTGATTGAGAACCACACCGGCCAACATAGAACTATACATACTAGATCACAAACATAGAAAATACAACAAGGAATATACACACCCTGACTCAACATATAAGCGTCCTCAGAGTCAGGGTGTGACAGTACCCCCCCCCCCCAAAGGTGAGGACTCCGACCGCACAACATGAACATAACAGGGTAGGGGCCGGGTGGGCATTCTGCCTCGGAGGCGGATCCGGCTCCGGGAGTGACGACCGCTTACTCTCCGCCTCCCTGTTGCGCCCCTGGTCTGGTCTGGAGCCGCTGACCGGAGCTGGACCAGGCCCCGGTGGAGCGGACTGCTCAGGCTCCGGACTGGAGCCGCTGACCGGAGTTAAACTGGGCACCGGTGGAGCGGACTGCTCTGGCTCCGGAGTGGAGCAGCTGACTGGAGCTGGACTGGACCCCGGTGGAGTGGACTCCTCTGGCTCCGGAGTGGAGCAGCTGACTGGAGCTGGACTGGACCCCGGTGGAGTGGACTGCTCTGGCTCCGGAGTGGAGCCGCTGACCAGAGCTGGACCGGGCACCAGTGGAGCGGACTGCTCAGGCTCCGGAGTGGAACAGCTGACCGGAACTGGATCAGGCACCGGTGGAGCAGACACGGGCCGTGCCGGACTGGACACACGCACCACTGGTCTGGTGCGAGGAGCAGGCACGGGCCGGACCGGACTAGGAACACGCACCACTGGCTTGGTGCAAGGAGCAGGAACGGGCCGGGCCGGGCTGGCGACGCGCACCACTGGCTTGGTGCGAGGAGCAGGAACGGGTCGGGCCGGGCTGGCGACGTGCACCACTGGCTTGGTGCGAGGAGCAGGAACGGGCCGGGCTGGCGACGCGCACCACAGGCTTGGTGCGAGGAGCAGGAACGGGCCGGGCCGGACTGGGAACACGCACCACTGGCTTGGTGCAGGGAGCAGGAACGGGCCGGACCGGACTGGCGACACGCACCACTTGCTTGGTGCGAGGAGCAGGACTGGGTTCCTTTATTAACCCCCTCTCCTTCTGCTGCCTAACCAGCTCCTCTCGCCGTGCCTCTACTTTTTCCTTCTCCATTTTAGCCTCCTGTAGTGCCTCCCTCTGACCGAATAACTCCTGCTCCCTCTTAGCCAACAGCCCCCGTAACATGGTGGCCTCCTCTCCTAACCTGCAGATCCGCCCTTTCACGGCCTCCTGCTGCCTCGTCGTCCACACCGTGTGCCCCCCCCCCCCCCCCCCAAAATGTTCTTTGGGTTGCCTCTCGGGTCTCCGTTGTCGGCACTGTTGGTGCCATTTCTCCTCTCCTACCCGGGATTCCTCCTTCATCGCCTTCCGATAATGGACGGCCTCCTCCTCTGTAATTCTCCCCCAACCGAGGAGGACATCTACTAACGTTACCTCCTGTTGAGTCCCAGGCGTTTGCTCCTTCTCGGCACGCTGCTTGGTCCTTGTTTGGTGGGATCTTCTGTCACGTTCGTTGAATGATGGGTCAGACCCAGGCGCAGCGTGATATGCATACATGTTTATTAAACTTTAAACACACGACAAAACAACAAAGGAAACGAAACGTGAAGTCCAAGGTAGAACACACAACATACCTTACAAGGAACAAGATCCCACAACTAGACAGTGCCAATAGGCTGCCTAAGTATGGTCCCCAATCAGAGACAACGAGCGACAGCTGCCTCTGATTGGGAACCACACCGGCCAACATAGAACTATACATACTAGATCACAAACGTAGAAAATACAACAAGGAATATACACACCCTGACTCAACATATAAGCGTCCCCTGAGTCAGGGCGTGACAATCACGTTGAGGGAGAGGTTGTTATCCTGGCACCACATGACGAGACTCTGACCTCCTCCCTATAGGCTGTCTCATCGTTGTCGGTGATCATGCCTACCACTGTTGTGTCGTCGGCAAACTTAATGATGGTGTTGGAGTTATGCCTGGCCATGCAGTCATTGGTGAACAGGGAGTACAGGAGGGGACTGAGCACGTACCCCTGAGGGGCCCCCGTGTTGAGGATCAGTGTGGCAGATGTGTTGTTACATACCCTTAACACTTGGGGGCAGCTCATCAGAAAGTCCAGGATCCAGTTGCAGAGGGAGGTGTTTAGTCCCAGGGTCCTTAGCTTAGTGATGAGCTTTGAGGGAACTATGGTGTTGAACGCTGCGCTCTAGTCAATGAATAGCATTCTCACGTAGGTGTTCCTTTTATCCAGGTGGGAAAGGGCAGTGTGGAGTGCAATAGAGATTGCATCATCTGGGGATCTGTTGGGGTGGTATGCAAATTGGAGTGGGTCTAGGGTTTCTGGGATAATGGTGTTGATGTGAGCCATGACCAGCCTTTCAAAGCACTTCATGGCTACAGACGTGAGGGCTATGGGTCTGTAGTCCTTTAGGCAGGTTACCTTAGTGTTATTGGGCACAGGGACAATGGTGGTCTGCTTGAAACATGTTGGTATTACAGACTCAGTCAGGGACAGGTTGAAAATATTCTTGAAGACACTTGCCAGTTGGTCAGCGCATGTCTTCCTGACATCGGCTACGGAGAGCGTGATCACACAGTCGTCCGGAACAGCAGGTGTGCCAAGCTTGTAGCGTCATACCCAAGAAGACTCAATGCTGTAATCGCTGACAAAGCTGCTTCAACAAAGTACTGAGTAAAGGGTCTGCATACTTACGTAGATTATTTTTTATAAATTTGCACACATTTTCTAAAAACGTATTTTCACTTTGTCATTATGGGGTATTATTAGTATTGTGTTGATTGATGAGGGGGAAAAATGATTTAATCAATTTTAGAAAAAGGCTGTAACTAGGGTCTGAATAGTATGTGGACACCTACTCGTCAAGCATCTCATTTCAAAATCATGGGCATTAATATGGAGTTGGTCCCCCCCCCCCCCCCCTTTGCTGCTATAACAGCCTCCACCCTTCTGGGAAGGTTTACCACTAGATGTTGGAACATTGCTGCGGGGGATTTGCTTCCATTCAGCCACAAGAGCATTAGTGAAGTCGGGCACTGATGTTGGGCGATTAGGCCTGGCTCGCAGTCGGCATTCCAATTCATCCCAAAGGTGTTCGATTGGGTTGAGGTCAGGGCTCTGTGCAGACCAGTCAAGTTCTTCCACACTGATCTCGGCAAATCATTTCTGTATGGACCTCGCTTTGTGCACGGGGGCATTGTCATGCTGAAACAGGAAAGGGCCTTACCTACACTGTTGCCACAATGTTGGAAGTACAGAATTGCCTAGAATGTCATTGTATGCTGTGGCGTTAAGATTTCCCTTCACTGGAACTGAGAGGCCAAGCCCGAACAATGAAAAACAGCCCCAGACCATTATTCCTCCTCCACCAAACTTTACAGTTGGCACTATGCATTCGGGAAGGTAGCATTCTCCTGTTATCCGCCAAATCTAGATTTGTCCGTCGGACTGCCAGATGGTGAAGCGTGATCCATCACTCCAGAGAACGTGTTTCCACTGCTCCAGAGTCCAATGGCGGCGAGCTTTACACCACTCCAGCTGACGCTTGGCATTGCGCATGGTGATCTTAGGCTTGTGTGCAGCTGCTCGGCCATCAAAACCCATTTCATGAAGCTCCCGACGAACAGTTCTTGTGCTGACGTTGCTTCCAGAGGCAGTTTGGAACTCGGTAGTGAGTGTTGCAACCGAGGACAGACGATTTTTATGCGCTTCAGCACTCAGCGGTCCCGTTCTGTGAGCTTGTGTGGCCTACCACTTCACGGCTGAGCCGTTGTTGCTCCTAGACATTTCCACTTCACAATAACAGCACTTACAGTTGATCGGGGCAGCTCTAGCAGGGCAGAAATTTGACGAACTGACTTGTTGGAAAGGTGGCATTCAATGACAGTGCCACATTAAAAGTCACTGAGCTCTTCAGTACAGGCCATTCTAATGCCAATGTTTGTCTATGGAGATTGCATGACTGTCTTCTCTATTTTATTCACCTGCCAGCAACGGGTTGTCCACATACTTATGGCCAAGGAGTGTATCATAGACCAATTTAAATAAAATACATTGAATTCACTGTTCATTCCACTCACCGTAGTTACTGTTGAAGATTTTGTTCTGCAGTGAAACGATGAGAGTTAATTCCTTCTTTGTCTTCCGTCTGTGTAGGAACATGGCTACCTTCCGTAACGTGGTGAACGGACAACCCCATTCCAACTGGTGGGATAACGGCAACAACCAGGTGGCCTTTGGACGCGGCAACCGCGGCTTCATCGTCTTCAACAACGACGACTGGTGAGGACTATACTGCAACAACTTGGATGATTGGTTGGCTGAGTGCTTGGTTGATTGGTTGGCTGAGTGGTTGGCTGACTGGTTGGTTGATTGGTTGGCTGACTGGTTGGTTGATTGGTTGGCTGAATGGTTGGTTGATTGGTTGGCTGACTGGTTGGTTGATTGGTTGGCTGACTGGTTGGTTGATTGGTTGGCTGACTGGTTGGTTGATGGTTGGCTGACTGGTTGGTTGATTGGTTGGCTGAGTGGTTGGTTGATTGGTTGGCTGACTGGTTGGTTGATTGGTTGGCTGACTGGTTGGTTGATTGGTTGGCTGACTGGTTGGTTGATTGGTTGGCTGACGGGTTGGTTGATTGGTTGGCTGACTGGTTGGTTGATTGGTTGGCTGACTGGTTGGTTGATTGGTTGGCTGACTGGTTGGTTGATTGGTTGGCTGAGTGGTTGGTTGGTTGGCTGAGTGGTTGGTTGGTTGATTGGTTGGCTGACTGGTTGGTTGGTTGATTGGTTGGCTGACTGGTTGGTTGATTGGTTGGCTGACTGGTTGGTTGATTGGTTGGCTGACTGGTTGGTTGATTGGTTGGCTGACTGGTTGGTTGATTGGTTGGCTGACTGGTTGGTTGATTGGTTGGCTGACTGGTTGGTTGATTGGTTGGCTGAGTGGTTGGTTGGTTGATTGGTTGGCTGACTGGTTGGTTGATTGGTTGGCTGACTGGTTGGTTGATTGGTTGGCTGACTGGTTGGTTGATTGGTTGGCTGACTGGTTGGTTGATTGGTTGGCTGAGTGGTTGGTTGATTGGTTGGCTGACTGGTTGGTTGATTGGTTGGCTGAGTGGTTGGTTGATTGGTTGGCTGACTGGTTGGTTGATTGGTTGGCTGACTGGTTGGTTGATTGGTTGGCTGACTGGTTGGTTGATTGGTTGGCTGACTGGTAGTTGATTGGTTGGCTGACTGGTTGGTTGATTGGTTGGCTGAGTGGTTGGTTGATTGGTTGGTTGACTGGTTGGTTGATTGGTTGGCTGACTGGTTGGTTGATTGGTTAGCTGAGTGGTTGGTTGATTGGTTGGCTGACTGGTTGGTTGATTGGTTGGCTGAGTGGTTGGTTGATTGGTTGGCTGACTGGTTGGTTGACTTGTTGGTTGATTGGTTGGCTGAGTGGTTGGTTGATTGGTTGGCTGACTGGTTGGTTGATTGTTTGGCTGACTGGTTGGTTGATTGGTTGGCTGAGTGGTTGGTTGATTGGTTGGCTGACTGGTTGGTTGATTGGTTGGCTGACTGGTTGGTTGACTTGTTTGTTGATTGGTTGGCTGACTGGTTGGTAAGTTGATTGGTTGGCTGACTGGTAAGTTGATTGGTTGGTTGGTTGGTGGGTGGGTTGGTTGGTTGATTGGCTGAGTGATCGATCGATTGATTGATTGACTGACTGATTAGTTGGTTGACTGGTTGGTTGATTGATTGAATTCAGATAAACTTCACTCTCTATTTCCTGTGTTTCAACCAATCAGGCAACTGGACGTGACTCTGAACACTGGCATGCCCGGTGGCGTCTACTGTGATGTCATTTCCGGCCAGAAGGACGGAGGGCGCTGCACGGGGAAGACCATCAACGTCGAGGCCGATGGTGGCGCCCACTTCAAGATCAGCAACACCGACGAGGACCCCATGGTGGCCATCCATGCCGACTCCAAGCTGTAAACAAACAATATAAGCACAAACAAACAATAAAATTTACCAGTACTGCAAACTGAACTTCTGTGGTGGTTTGGTTTGGTTTTTTGCTGTGAAGGCTTGAGTTGATGGTCAATGCTGAATCTATTTCAGCTGATGTCCTTTAACATGCTTGGTGATTCAAAGGGAAGCAGGTTGACTTCATGATTTGAGACAGACGCAGAAGTATTTGAAGCTCTACACCTTCACTTTGACACTTCTAAGTTGACTTGGGCTAATGGATGGTCACCTTGACATTAGGTTATCAGTACAGCGCTAAGAAGCTAACATAGTAATGGTCTCAAGGTGGCGTGCCTCAACACAACCGTTCCACTAATTATAATGATTGACGTACACAGACAAATTAAGCCAAGTAGGATCATTTCCCTTGTCAAAGTCGTCCTAACAATCTCGACTAATTAATGTTGTCCATTTGAATTGTAAATAAACATGCTGAAACTATACGTTTGATGTTCTACTGAGATTCCACTGTGATATAAATTGTAAATCTCAAATCTTTTACAAGTAAAACTGTAAAGCCTTCTGAGGGCACGTCTGTAGGTTCAACAAGTAGTTACGAGAACATTGAACTAGATCTGAGCAGTAATATCTGTAAAGACTGAATACTCCACATCACTGCTGGAGACTTTCCAGTGACTGACTCTCTACAGTATGGTGTTTTTTTACACTCAGGAGAGTTTAGATAAGAAGACCTCAGAAAGAGTCTTTTTTCTCACCACACCCTCAAGAGGAGATTGAGTGTGTGTGAGTGTGTGTGTGTGTGTGTTGATGTGATTGAAGCCACACAGCAGTGATTGGGCCCTGTCCTCTAAGGAGCAATGAATAGAAGGAGGATGGATGAGGATGGATGAGGATGAAAGAAGGACGTGCATCGCGTAGTAACGGCCTGTCAGAGACACGCTCGGATGCTCCGGGACGCCAAACAGGACTTGTCCAAAGGGGGCTAACCAGAGGTAAAGCCACAGCAGGGCCTGGCTGGGCAGAGGCCCTGACAGATTGAACACTGACTCGCCACAATCAGGTTTGCTTAAGTACAATAACTAGGAATAAAGTGACTAGGCAACAGGACAGATGATAAACAGTAACGGCAGCGTATGTGATGAGTCAAAAAAATTAGTGCAAAAAGGGTCAAGTTTGAACTTTTAATGTCATATGACCAGTACAGTGAAATGCCTTTCTTGCCAGCTCTAACCCCAACAATGCAGTAATCAATAACAACGTACTACTTCAAATAACAAGGTAGAACAAAAACAGCCTTAAGTGTCCCAACTTGTGCAAGTGAATAGTTAGCTTTTTGTGTGTCGCCGACTGGTAAAATGCTTCAAGAGGTCCCCGAGTTCACGCTAAGTATGGGCCTCGCTAAGCAAGCAGCTTGACGTCCTTTACACTAGCTGACGCTATCTTGATTGAAATCTATCATACCTGACACAAAACCGATATAGATCAAGTATATTTCTAAGAAACAGAGGGCTCCCAGATCAGCCGAACACAGGGGGGGGGGAAAAAAACGATTCCCACCCACCTTAAGATGGCATTGACAAAACATGGTGGTTTTCCCATGGTGGGCATGATTCTATAAGGTTAAAGGTCATAGCACATTGGAACCTCTTATTGGTTTAAATTAGTCTTTTAAAATCACTTTGGCACTAATTTCAGAACCTTGACGTCATTTTTCAAAACTCTAGACACAAAACGGTCATCACTGGTAACACAGGCTGTCCAATGTTCAAAACATTGCATTGTGCATTCATATCTTTAAAGAAATCTTGCACTTGCACAATCATTGGTTCAAAAAACAAATGTATTGTGAAATACCAATGAAACGTTAATTTAGATCACCCACACACAAGCAACCGATAGTTTCACTGTGTCATTGTTCGTACAATCATTAAATATTGTAGTACAAAATAGGTGATACATGTTTCATTATGGTACTACATGTAAATACATCCCTGTAAAAGTACTGCAGTAGTAGAGAGAACACTACAGACACTGTGGAATCATTGAACAAAATCTGAAATATATTGATGAAAAACAATACAGTACTGTAAAACATCAAATGCAGTGTTCCTCAACTTGCTTGCTTGTACTGTAAAAAGCTAAACATAGGAGTGATTACTGTACTTCTACATTTTCATCAACTCTGTCTTGTGGATTTGGCCACAGGTTCTCATCTACATCACAATGGATGTTTTCATTAGCCAAACATCTTGGAAAAAACCTTCGGGCATTGCGAATCCAGGCCTGACACTGGTCTGCCGTGATGTCATTGCATGCGTCATCCATGGCCTGGAGAAGAGTGACTTGTTCATGAGTGTGCCTATCATAAACCTTCCATCTCCATGTGGAGAAAAATTCCTCAATCGGGTTAAGGAAAGGAGAGTATGGGGGTAAATACAGGGTGGTAAATTGTGCATGGGCCTGAAACCATGCTTGCACCATATGAGCATGGTGGAACCTGACATTATCCCACACAATGACATAGGTCACGCCATCAGCTCTACAGGCCTGATCGAGCTCATCAAGGAAGGTTACAAGGAGAGCTGCATTATATGATCCAATACGAGGTCTGCGTCCCACCACACCATCTTCTGATATAGCCGCACACATGGTAATGTTGGCCCCACGTTGTCCAGGTACTTGGATGGTTGCCCGCTGGCCAATTAAATTCCGACCACTCCTCCTTGTCTTGGCCAGGTTAAAGCCTGCCTCATCCAAATATATGAATTTGTGATGGTTGTCATCAGCATCCAGCTCCATCACCCTCTAAAAATACATTTTGGAAAGAGATTTACTGATTAATGTACAATGTAGAATTATTAGGGAATTTTATTACAACAGCCATCTTGAAACTGAACATACCTGAACATACTCAGTCCTCATTTGCTTCACTCTGTCTGCATTTCTTTCAAAAGGCACACGGTATAGTTGTTTTAAAGAGACCTGGTGCCTTTTCAGCATGCGTGCAATAGTCGGCAAACTTATGGATTCCACATTGTTAAACATGTCTTCATTGTCCAAGATATGCTGGCGAATTTCTGTAAGGCGAATATCATTTCTGGCCCGAACGAAATCGACCACAGCCTGCTCTTGTTGGTCAGTCAGAATTTTGCCTCTGCCTCCCCTATTTGGCCTAGTCTCAATTCTATAGGGAACATTACAGTAAGAAGACACTTGGTCACATCACCTACTCTGTGATACACATTGGTATGCAGTCGTTTGACAATTGAGAGTAACATATTGTTTAGTGCATGCTGACAACTTACCGGTTCTCATTGCGGAAAGTTCTGATTATTGAGGCCACGGTTGACCTTCTGAGGTTTGGTTGTATCATTGTAGCCGCCTCAGTCATTGTCATGCCATGATTTATGACATGGTCTACAACTATTGCTCGGATTTCATTGGACACTCTTTGCTGTTGCTGCCACTGTCTTGGTCCGTGGCCTTGTCCTCTATCACGTTCCCCCACACCTCTCAAACAAGGCCCACGGCCACCTCTCAGAAGGGGTGCTTGTCCCCTGCCATTCCTCGTCTTCCTCCCAGCACTGCTTGACCTCTATTGTGACCTGGATCACCTGGCGGCTCCATGTTACAGTACGTATCGCTATGTTGTTGCAAGTGGATCCCAATCAATTCTTTATATACTCGTTCCACAATGTGAACTCAGTCATCAGTAACGAGTTGGCAGAATTGGACAAGCAATTACAAGGGCCTGCATCCATACAGTGCAGTACTGTCAATACTGTAAATAGTCTGAAAAGGTGGTACATGGGACCATAGAAACGGTGTCTGATAAAGAATGATGATGAAATATTACATCCATAGATAATGTAGTCTAATTGGTTCATGCTCCACGCTAATTGGTGACAATTAATCTCGTTATCTTGAAACTTTCGTGATCTAAACATGGAATATTGTTTGTCTGTTTCCATACAACTATGCATTAAGAGTAATGCAACAGTTACTTATCATTTTGAGCAGTTGTATCAATTGATAGTTGGATAATTGTAATGAAATGAATAGACACTCATCTGAAATGTAATGTGTGAATTGCCTTTTGAAATAGTAGTACTTTGATGTTAAGTTGTGTCATATTGAACAGATGATTTTTGTTAAATGAACAAATGATCTTAGTTTTATGTGTATTGTATCCAATCAATTGAAAAAAGTGTTACAGAGTTTTGAAAAATGTGCATTTTCGTCATTGGTTGTGAGTTTTGTGTCTAGAGTTTTGAAAAATGACGTCAAGGTTCTGAAATTAGTGCCAAAGTGATTGTAAAGAACTGCAATCATAGCTAGAGTTTGGAAAACATATATAAACAAATGTTGGCTTGATGCCAATACTAAAAATATAGGACTAAACATTCACAGGAAGCAAACTGTACATAGATAGTTTCTTGATAGGACAGATTTCTAGGAGGAATAAAAGTCTGTCATTTCTTGTTAAACCTGGACAGAATCCCCATCACCAGATATTTCCACAGAACACTAGCTCCCTCAATGGGTTGAAAAGGGTACTGCAGCCACTCGTCACAAACTATCAATGCATGATTCTGATGGAGGCCATAGAAATGACTGTTCAGTAGTGCCCCCTAATGAACTCTGTATCTATAGATAGGACCATCTATTAATACTCATTATTTGAAAGAGACTCCGTTATTGTGAGTCTGTCCAACTTCAGTGTTTCTAGTCAGTAATCAGCCTCCTGTGTCTGTCTGTGGTTCCCTTTAAAGAGTCTCCACCTGTACACAGCCCTTCTGAAATTAGCCCACTCAACTACCTCATCCCCATATTGTTATTTATTTTGCTCATTTGCACCCCAGTATCTCTATTTGCACATCATCTCTTGCACATCTATCATTCCAGTGTTAATACTAATTGTAATTATTTTGCACTATGGCCTGTTTATTGCCTTACCTCCATAACTTGCTCCATTTGCACACACTGTATATATATTTTCTGTTGTATTTTTGACTTTATGTTTTGTTTAACCCATATGTAACTCTGTGTTGTTGTTGTTT